AGACATACGTGTCATGAATACCAATACCAGACATTTATGCCGCGTCAATACCACTGATCCCAATGAGCTTCAGCAGCATGGTTCCATCTGACCAGAGGGAGGGACACGGGGGAAGAAACCTCCCTTACCTGCAGCTTGATGGCACACGCCTCTTCTCCAACGCTCACATATCTGCACCAACAAGCACCTGTACACGGCCGCCAGCAGGGCGTCACGTGACATCGCCAGGGAGTCAGAGAGCGTCTGATCGATCGTTTGTTTCTCTCACACAATGAGCTTCTCTTCTTACTCATTGTTTGGCCCTGAATCAAACCTCTGACCCACTAATGAACAATCAGACATTTGTCTGCTGTTGCGCACACGCACACACGCACACGCACATAAGCACGCACACACACACACATGCACACACACACACGCACACACACACACGCACGCACACACACACACACACAGTCCCTCGCTGACCGTGTTCAGACGAGTCCACACACTAGTAAAGGGACAGATGAGGAGATGGATCTGCACAGTGTGCTGACCCTGCTGTTTAGAACTAAAGCCGTGCGGTCCGTGTCGTTGGTAAAGTGCAGTAGTTGTATATGGAAATGTCACGCATGGTACCGGTATGTCCTGGTATCCATCGCTGTGGAGATTCTTCCAGTAAAGAAGAGTTGAATCATTAACAAAGATGATATTTCTATAGTGAAGTCATGAGGAATAAAACATCCAATCGTTACATTTAGAGACAACGTTTGTTCAGTGATCATAAGAGTTGAAGATACATTTCTGTGGTTAAAGGCTCACCGCTCTACTCTTCCCCTCCATGTTCAGTGCGACCCGCCCATCGAGGTCCGAGACCTTTTCCTGGACATTCGGGATGGACACATCCTCATGGCCCTGCTGGAGGAACTGTCCGGCTGCCAGATGGTCAGTGTGGGCCGAGTGCCGTAGCAGTACTGGTCTTCAGGGTTGTGTTGGTCGCTAGTTTTTATATTGTTCAATAATTCTGTTTCCATTCCTAACGATCCTCCAGCTCCACAGGTACAAGAGGTCCTCCCATCGTATCTTCCGACTCAACAACATTGCCAAGGTGCTGTCTTTCCTGGAGGAGAGAAACGTGAGTACTGCCACAGTCCACCGAGGACACGTCCACCTCCCGCTGGGTGACTGACACCACGTACGTGTGTCCTCAGGTGAAGCTCGTCAGCATCGATGCAGCCGACGTCGCTGACGGAAACTCCTCCATCATCCTGGGACTCATCTGGAACATCATCCTCTTCTTCCAGGTAACCTCATTGCATCCCATTTAATGCCACTTGATCCGCTCCGCTCAGGAAGCACAGGCTGTCTCTCCGTAGCGGTCAGAGCGCTAACAACGAGACACCCATCTGCTTTGACGTCTTTGTTCACTGATCAGTCCGAAGCTCCAGCGTAGTCCCTCTACGTGAAGTGAAACATGACTCAACCTGGAGATCAAGATACCGTTCAGCAAGTGTTGTGTTGACTTTGGCCGTATCTATTTTGGAATGTCTCCAATCCAAACAGGAACAGAGAAATGGACACAGGTAGCAAACTCATAGGTTACATTTTTGTTTTCAATCCCTTCCAGACGGTGATTTGACCGTAAAAGATGTGTCCTTAGAGCTGTGCCGCTGAACACAGATACCTTATTGATGGACAGATGCTCCTTGATGATGCTGCTGCCTGCTGAGACATTTATGAACGTTAACCTGCCTGTTGTGTTGTGATCTTGGAGGGCAGCTGTTTTTCTATAACATTTCAGATAAAACATTAATGTCATATAATGACATAACTGTCTATGACAAATAGCTTTCATTTTATATTTCATTTGATTATTCATTTGTATGTTTTTATAGACTTTGAGAGACCGCTTGGTGTAAAGGGAATACTGCTGTTTGCATAGATAGGTGCGCAGTGCACTACTTTTTACTTTACTAGGGAATCTCAACATGGTAAGATGCAGATTGTAACCTGTTGGGACGCAACCTGCTGACGTGTACAGATATAAATATCTTGCATGAGAAAACTTTTGCCCGATGTTGTTTGAAAACAGGTCTGTTAAGCTCCGGCTGGAGTCCTTACGTCACCGTTCAGACAGTAAAACGGACTTGACTTCCATCATGACATTCAGCACTGAACTGATCCTCTCACTGCTTTTAGTGCTTTGATTGATCTGTTTCTGATTACATTGTGTACCAGTGTTTCCATGGTAACCACGGCGAAACACTTCATGCTGTTGAACGAGGCTTTTACCTGTTTGTTATCTCGACTCAGCACATATTTTATTGTATACGTGGGATTGTTTGTGGGCACACGGCATGTAGGACGCTACGTACAGCACCTGGATAAATAACACGGTTGAGTTTCATACTGAACAGCTGAATTAACAGCTGACTAAAGGGGAATATAATCCAGCTCACTGTCTCCTCCCAGATTAAGGAGCTCACTGGGAACATCAGGAGCCAGTTTCCCTCCTCGTCCAGCCTATCGTCCATCCCCACCAGCTCTGACTCCGACGCGTCCTGCTGCAGCGCGCCGTCGGGCGAGAGACAGTCGGCGTCCACCGCCATGCGGGAACACAGCAAAGCCATCAAAAAACTGCTGCAGTGGGTGCAGAAGCGAACACGCAAGTGGGTGTAGTCTGCTGTCTCCAATAAAGATTGCTAAATAAAATACTAACACATTTCAGAATGTGTTGGTATTGTGTTGAGTTGTGTTGCTGCTGGACATATGGTACAGCACATCAGTGAGCATAGTTTATGTTGATGGTCCTTCTGGCATGACCCTGACCGTTCGACATGTCCCGTCACAGGTACAGTGTGGCAGTGAAGGACTTTGGGAAGAGCTGGACCAGTGGCCTGGCCTTCCTGGCTGTCATTAAGTCCATTGACCCCAGCTTGGTGGACATGAGAAAGGCACTGCTGAGGAACGCCAAGGACAATCTGGAGGACGGCTTCAGGATAGCCCACTACAGTCTGGGTATCCCACGCTTACTGGAGCCGGAGGGTAACGACTGGGTCTCTTCAGACTCTACCTGCTAAAAACACTACAAACTGTAGCACTTAAATTGTACTAGAATGGCTCTTAGCACGTTGTAAATCGGCTTATTTGATGACATTTATGAAGTAAATCTGTGTCGGATTTTGAAAGAAAAAGGTGATTGAATTTCTAGCACTGAATATTTATGCATTGAAATCATGTATCTGAATGTTTTTCAACGTTAAAATATTCAACCGCAAAAAATTCAACCACAAAAAATTCAATGCAAAAAAATTCAAATGATGTTGCGGTTTGAATTTTTTTGCATTGCATTTTTTTCATTTGTTCTTTTGAGTTGTATCTTATATTTGTGTTAATTATACATGGTTTATGCTCCCATTGTCAGATGTGACTATCAATGCACCAGATGAACAGTCCATCATGACGTATGTGTCACAGTTCCTAGAGCACTTCCCTGGCAGAGAGGAGGTAAGAATCCCTTCTTTACACACAGAGGCCTTTTGTTCCCGTCATTAAGTCGCAAAACTATTGTTTTCACTTTTGAGCTTTCTCACTTTTTTGAGTAGTTTACATTTCAATGTGATTTATTCGATAGTCCCCAGTGTGTGGAAGCCTTTACAGAGCATCGATCTCTGAGAGTGAGCGCAGATACATGCCTGTGTTTCTCTCTCAGCCGGAGGAGCCCGTCCCGCCGATCGAACGGAGTGTCTCCATGGGCCGACTCAACTTGCGCGAGAAGGACTCCAACCACATAAGGAATAGTATCCAGCAAAGCCGAGTGAAGGAGAGGTCCCACATGTTTCAAAGGGTCTGTACCCAATCGCCACCCAGAATCCTGATTTCCTCAGTGTCAGAGGACCGGAGTGCCATGTCCCCCCCCTTCCGGCCAGCTGCAGCTCGCTCGTGGTCCAGTGAAGATATCTTAGCGGATTCCCCCCACATGGAAGAAATCTCAAGCAGTGTGGCCGAAAAGCCCCAAGAATCTGCCAGTGACGTTTCGACCAACTCAACCTCGAAGTCCCCAGAATTGTCTTACGCTCACTCACCCACAGGCTCATCGCTGCCTGAGTCCGTCACCTCCGAGCCGATGATTGGCGACTCAGCAATAAGCTCACCGGACTCGTGGGTGGAGAGCGAGTTGGGGGGGATGCAGGAGAGGCTTTGTGAGAGTGACAGTTCTTTGTGTGACAGTGGAACAGCCTGGGATGTGTATCGTGCCACTCCTGTGGAGGTCACTAATCTGGATGAAGGATGCGTCCTATCCATGGAGGAAAGGGCACCCGAGGAGGAGTCCATTCCAGAGTCGTACGTGGACGAAGGCATTTGCTCACTGGGCTCATTGGAGAGCACCGTGCAGAAAAGTCAAGGGGATTTTGAGAAGAAGCAGCCGGAAGTAGTGCAAGAGAAAGAGGAGGTGCACCTTGAGAAGTACAACCAGGACATGCCTGTGGAAAAGGTACCCGATCATAGCAAGGCTGAGATTGCAGAAGAAGAACCGAGTGAACAGACGATACAGGATACGAGTCAGAGCAGGGAGCCGGAGCCTTCTGTAGGACTCTGCAACGCAGTGGAACTGACCAGCTCAGCTGTGGAAAAGCTCCATGAAAGTGATCATTCTAACCAGTCGCAACCCAAGAAAAACAACGTTGGAGACAGGCCTGTGGACCTCATTGAGGGTGCAAGGGATCACGAAGGACAAATTGTAGGTCTGAATGAGAGCGGTAACTCTGAGGAACTTCAAGGGGAAACTGAATGTCAGGAAAGACAAGAAAATACAATGATTGATGATGTTGGAGAAACACGAGAGGAAGCAAGTGAAGAAGTTCTAAGAGAAGACCTGAATGCACAAGAGAACTTTAGTTCGGAGACATTCGCAAACACGGATCCAACCAGCCAAGACAGAGCTCCAGAAACAAGTCTGGACCCAAGCGCTGGCAGAAATGTTCCTCTGATCTCGATTTCAAGTGAGCCAGAGGAGCAGAACCTAGAGGGAATATGTGACCCAGAAAGACAACATCCTGCTTGGCAAGATGAGGTACAGCCAGAAGGAACTGACCCAGATGTCGACTGCCCCCCAAATCCACAAGAAAACAACCTTGACTTCAATTACAATGTGGACATTCCATTGTGTCCGGTAACAGAAAGTGATCAACCAAAAGCTTCAGAACAAACACGGGACAGGGAAAGCCAACATTTGGATGAACATGGAACCAGTCAGTACATCGGCGAGCCCGACACAGGAGATAAAATGACATCGAGTGAATGTGAATTAACTTGTCAGACTTCTTCTTCAGAAGCCACACCGGTGAATGCCGAGCAGGAAATGGATTCCACCGATCAGCCGGATGGACACAAGGACACAGCCGCCACCGAGCAGAACACACCCGATTCTGTGAACTCAAAACCAAACGGTACTTTTGAACCAGGTTGTCTGCACAGAGACACAGACTTGTTTTATACAGACTTTGATCAGAGTCCCGGCCCAGAGGATGTCGCCGGTGCCCCTGTTGAACCCATGGATCTGTTCTACCCTGACAAAGAGGAGTCCATGTTTCTAGAGCCACCAGATGCTGAGACGCAGAGTTGGCCTTCGGTTTTGAGTGTATCCGCCCTCAAGCCAGCTCCTGCTTCGGAGACTCAAGCCGATCAGCCCTCCAGCCTGCTGGGTGAAGACTTCAGCCATGGAGCGGATTGGACCCAAGAGAACGACGAGGTGAATGCGTGTTTATTCAGCTGTTGGTGGGTTTGGTTACGGATGGGAAGACCTGTGGATGGCAGCCTTGGTCGGGCGGCTGGACAGTTTACCAATTTAGTCCATATAGTCCAATATTTATTGGTGATACATCAGTTACAACTACCAGCTATAGGAACCGGTGAGACGTCACAGCAAAGTAATGTGTCTCCCTGTGATTGTTGTACACTTTGCAAAGACGCGTGCCCAAAGGACAAGCCCACATTTTGGGTTGGAAGGTAGAACACCTCCGACTACCTTTCTGTCAGTTGTTCCTGTTCAGGTTGAAGGGGTGAGAAAGGGAGGCTCCGGTGCACATTCACCCCCCCTCCCCCAGTTACGCCCATCACAATACAAACGGACAAATGTCCACATGAATGTTAGTAATGTTCACCAGCCATGCATACAGCGTAGCAGCAGTACGGCCCATCTTTGGAATAAGGAATATGTTGTTCCTATAAACGTACTAATGGTTGATGATCTCTGGCAACCAGTAGTAGTTGTTAAAGTGTCTTCCTGCCTGTCACCCGTTCCGCCGTTACCAGCTGATCCCGAAGACCAACCAGGACACTGACGCGGCATCTAAACCCCAGGAACTGTGTGTGCTGCCCGGGGAGACGACAGGAGGACTCTGGGGGGACGACGCTCCAGCAGACGGCAGTGATCTCAGGACCTCGGGCCGTGCCAGGGAAAACACAGAGCCTGTGAGGTAGGCTTTCTATTCTTAGCCAGCTCCCGGGTACACTGGGAACACTGGGAAACACAGTGGGCCCGGGGGGGAGCAGTGTTATGGCAATGTGTGACCTGGCTCGGATATTTCCTTAAATGTACTGAACTACGTGATCTATGCGGGCCGGTGATGGGAAAGAAGCCGGGCCTTATGAGGGTTGAGGGACTGCCCACTGGAGCAAGGGAAAGACATGAATCAATAGCGTGTGATTCCATCCATGTTCATCAGTGGAATCAAAGTTCTGATCCCATAGCCAAACGTACAGATAAACAGTGACCCAGGTAGGTCACATGTCACCTGTGTGTAATCACTATAATTAAGCCCATCTTGTTGTAAATCTCTCAACATGGCTTTGCTGGCTTTGATTGGCTCAACTGGTTCTCTTCATTTGGTTTCAGGATTTGAATGTTGTACCAGAGACCCTAACAGCAGACACAGACTAATGGAGCTTGTCTTTACAGTGAAGGTTCCATCAGACAGGATGAAAGCCAGATCCCTCCAGTCCTCCGGCACAGGAAGGCCGCTCGCTCCACCGAGTCCACGGTTGGTTTGACTCTCCGTTTCCTTTCGGATTGATGTCCTGTGTGATGCTCGGTAGTGAGTTTCTCTGGTTCGTGTTTCACGCCTCGCAGGGCGATCGGCCAGCTGTGACAGCAGCGAGCAGCGGAGACGACAATGGCGACTCCGACTCCGGGTAAGAGCTTTGTTTCAGTCTCGTGCACCACATCAAACCCCTTGACGATCAAACTGTGGATGATTCGCCTTGGCACTTAATTATTAGTACGTAGTTCATTAGTACGGTTCCCCAGTAGCTGAACTCCTACCCCATAAGATAAGATGCCCTGAACCCAGGCGGGGCGTGACGTCTCTGTCGGAGCTGCACACGTGTGCGTGTTGTTGTAACCAACATGTGTGCAGGTGCAGTGACAGCTGGGAGCTCTACGTGCTGCTGCTGCTCTGGCTGCTGCTCTACTGCTTCTGGCTGCTGCCCCAGATGGACCTGAAGACACTTCCCAGCCTGCTGCTCAACCTGGAGCCCTGAACGCACACACACACACACACACACACACACACACACGTAAAGCACCACCACCAAATCGCACACTACAGTCCTGAAGAGGAGGAGTTGTTTTAGCTTTGTGCTGTGCAGCTTTCCATGTGGCTCGGAGGCGTCTGTATCTCCACGTTCTGGGGAATATTATGAGAAAAGCGTTGTCGTTTTACAGGATGAAAAGTCATAACTTATCAACAATAACGTTTGAACTATTCGTTAAGTCAGATTAAAAGAAATACTTGTATTATTAGAAACTGGGCTTTTATTTTAGGAGTCTATGGTTTTGAGAAAAGTCAGTGCTGTTAAAGTAAATGTAAAATATTTTTGTGTTATTAGATTTTGTTTTATGATCATTATTATTCAAATATAAAGAAACAATATCATCGTAGTTATAGATCGTAGCCAAAGACCTGTAATAAACAACCAGAAGCGAGACGTTTTCCTTCTTAAAGGTGTGACTTTATTTAACATTAGAACTTCTTCTCATGACGTTGTTGTTTTGGTCCAAATGTTGCAGTTAAAATGGGAAAACCTGATTTGTAATTTACGACGGTTCAAAGGCGACACAACTGACATTGTGAGACAACACGTACAGCACTCTGATTGGTACATGGAGATATATACTATGGACTCATGGACTGAATAGCCATTTAAAGTGAAAGTGCTTTAAGCTGAGGGAGATTAGAACATTCAAACATGCAAACCTGTAGGTGATCTGAAGGTAACTAATGAAGGGGGATTTTGATCCGTTGCACATCGTGAAAAAGAATCAGAACTGCCAAAGAAATGCTTGAGAGATGAGTATAAGACATATGCATTAACGATATGCATACGCTCAATACGGTATCCGTGCCAACGAAAAGTACACAACAACCTGTTTTTAACAAAGTCAATCTGGTACTAAAGCTCCGCCCCAGTGGCTCTATATTGTATCATAGTCGAGCAGAACATGTATTTGTAATATTTTGTGTCTTATAATGGATTTTTAACGTTTTATTGTAAAGAAATGTTTTATGTGATTGAGACTTGCTTGTGAAAAGAGAATGCTTTACGATGAAATATCTTTATATACATATATGCTATTTTTGAACATTGTCTGACAGAGCGCGCCTCCTTCACCCCGTCCTTCCTCCACCCGCACTCGGCCGGGTCATCGTCAGCCCGTCTCCCGTGTGAGTGCTGGACGTCCGGTTGCACTTTAACCCTCGTTAGAGCCAAACTGTGTCCCTTCTATTGATCAGCATAAAGCACACATGCAACTGTCTGTGGAACACGTGAAGCGCCTGCCAATGTTACCGTGCTGCTGGGAAGGAACTGAGAAGGAACGCTCATGAAATGATGCATTAGCTTCGCTATTATGTATGAATGTTTTGCCTTTTTGTCAGATGTGTTTATAAAAAAAATAGTTCCTCACTAAAAAAAGTTCCTTTTTTTTTTATATATTCTTTTACCAAATGAGTTTGTAGTAATACCTTCTGCACTATACTGTCTCTGAATAGACCTTTGAGTCACCCTGACGGGAAGGGGACACAGCTCCGTTTACAAAAGAGGTCCAAGGGCTCGAGGAGCTTCACGTCCACCCGTGGAGGTCAGGCTGAAGGTCCTATTCAGGCCCCTCAGGTTCCAGCCTCTTTCACCACAAATGAATCACACCTCCACACGCTGCTGCCCGCCACATGTGTCCGGTGCCTTCAACAAAAACATGTCCAACCACCGGGACAGTCCCTTGAGTCTGAGACAAAAGGGCAGTTTGAGGTCTTTACAAGGGGACTGTGTGTGTCTTTGTGTCTCCTCCACCCAGAGGACTAACCTAGACGCACATATTGGCTTAGTCATTGCAAATGTTTCATCAGCACCAGTGGACTGCGATTAAAGACGTGTCTCAAAGCCGTTGTCTCTAGTTGTGAATGCTTTGGATTCAGGGGAACTGACTGATTCATCTGGGGAGTATTTGTATGAGTCTTGAGGTTAAGGAAATGTCAGTTTGCACTGTTAGCTGCAAGCCGCCGTATCAATGTTTTTACGGGAAGCAGGAGGCTCGTGGAGACAAACCTCAGATAATTAGCATTCTAAGCTCCATCAAGCTTTTTGTTCTCTTTCATCAACCCAGAAGAAAAGGCCCCACTTTGCTTCAGTCTCACAGCCTGATGAGCCCGGGGCGAACACCTAAACCCTGTGGGAACTCTCACAGAGTTGCTTTTAGCATCAAGGCGTATTGGACGAGTCCTAGATGAGCAGTGATGGAGGAAACCTCCCAGAGGAACTCTGAGTGAGTGAGGGACAGCCTTCAGAATGTGAGCATCTCTGGCTTCTCTAGTGAGATCGGCCACAAGCGTTCTCTCTGCACCCGGTCCCGTCTTAACTTGTACGAGTTCTACAATTCAGAGGATTTTAAATAGTTTTAGCTGAGTGTGGCGTACTGCTTCAATATTAGCAGATGTCAGTCAGCGATCTGCAGTCAGTTCATGTATGAAACGGCTGAAATGAGCAGTTAAAACTACCAATATTTAGTGTAGTTATTATGAGGTGACCATTTATTTTGAATGGTCGCTTTACATGAACCTCGAACCACAATTTCAGTTTTAGTTCTGTTCATTTTTTGTTTCTTTACTAAACATAGATGTTTAAGGCCTGATCATTTATTGTTTGGTACCGCTCCACTGCTGTGCTGTGTGTGTGTGTGTGTGTGTGTGTGTGTGTGTGTGTGTGTGTGTGTGTGTGTGTGTGTGTGTGTTGCCATCTAGAGGACATCATGTAACACTGAACAGCCTCAGCGCGGCTGAACACATTCAGGAGGTTTTTGTAAATATGGCAGTGAAGCGTCTGCTGCCCTTTGATCGGACATGGTAAAAACATGGATGAATCTGCCAATATATATGTAACATCTGCGAACAGTAAAATATGAAAATTAACAAATGCTTATCATGCACATTTTTGGCAATCGTTTGTTCTCTATTAACATAAGGGATCCCCAACGTTCTTTTTCACTAGAAATTTGAAATGTGTTCATGCGAAAAGAGAGTAAATGTCCTTTGCAAGTGCCATGAAGTGTTGATTTAAACAAATGTTATTCTGTAAATATATATATATATTATACTTACAGAATAACATGTATTTATATACATATGTATATATAGTATCTATATATATATACAGATGAGCTGTTGTGCCTTGCTGCTCTAATATAATAAGATAATGTGAGGTCAGTAACCGGGTTCTCCTGTCCAGTGAGAGGAACCTCCAGACTGTGAGCAGATATTCTCCTTCGCTTTAGTAAAACAGCGTGCGGTGTCACCGCTGGTTGTCACGCAGATTACGTAGATCTTTTGGCGTAGCAGAGGCCCGGGTGAAAAGAAGGGGTCCCACCGCGGAACGAGTAGCTAGAGCGAGAGCGACAGCAGCGGATATCCTAGGAACGATTACAAGTAGTTTTTAGGCCTGACTGTAAATTGAAAAGCAAACATCAGGTGAGATTCCCTACCAGGTCACATACTTTGTGAAATAACGTTACTCTGTTGCACGCGCTGGCCCTGCTAGGTGTTAGCTTGCTAGCTAAAGCTGGCTGACATGGTGATGGTGCATGGGGGCTGTAGTCACCGCCCAGACGTTGTGTAGCTAAATGCTGTATGTATTTAAAGGGGAAGCCGTGTTTCAGTTTGGCGGTTAGTCGCGCAGTCGGGAACAGACAAACATGTCTTTGACTAGCAGAATAGATCGATAACTGGGTTCAGACAGGCGCAATCCGTCAGCTGTACTACGCGCTAGCCATGCTAGGTTATGCTAACGCTACGTTGCTGAGGAGGTTTTCCATTGCAGTCAGCGCGATGTCAATATTTGGTCACTAACGCTGTGTTAGAGGCTAATAGACTGCGAGGCATTATGTGGTTACTTCAGCCTGTCCGTACGATAGAGTCCCTGCCAGCCTAAAGCAAAGTAACGCACTCAGTCATTTGTCATATGGACATGTTAACGTTATTAGCTAGTGTAAGCTAGCATCCCCCTGTTCATACTAGCGTTATAGCACCGACAATGAGGCCAATGCTCCCTACAGGGTTCGTTGTTCTGTAGTATTAAAGTCCCGTCAAGCAAGTATCCGCTCATATTTAATTTAATATCTTTAACGTTATGGTAATGTTTATTAAAAGTTCGCTCAATGCCAATAACTTGAAATGCCTAGTTACTAGCAAGCTAATGTGGCCAGTGTTACTCAGCATGGTGTCTGCTAGTAACTGCAAAGTTAACTAAACGTTCGTGTTCACAATTTGAATTGGCATGTTGGTCGGTGTTCACACATTGAGCCTCCCACTCTTAATGAAACTGCCAATGATATGACGCAGGGTGTGTGCCTGCTAGAGCTGCCTTCCCCCGCCTGGCTTCCTTGTACTAAACTGAGGGGCCACGGCAGATGTGATGGCAGGTGTCATAGCAGATGTGATGGCAGGTGTCATAGCAGATGTGATGGCAGGTGTCATAGCAGATGTGATGGCAGGTGTCATAGCAGATGTGATGGCAGGTGTCATGGCAGATGTGATGGCAGGTGTCATAGCAGATGTGATGGCAGATGTGATGGCAGGTGTCATAGCAGATGTGATGGCAGATGTGATGGCAGGTGTCATGGCAGATGTGATGGCAGATGTAATGGCAGGTGTCATAGCAGATGTAATGGCAGGTGTCATAGCAGATGTAATGGCAGGTGTCATAGCAGATGTAATGGCAGGTGTCATAGCAGATGTAATGGCAGGTGTCATAGCAGTTTGACATTTCGTGGTCGTGTTGGGAACATCTTGAACCTGCTGTTGGGGCATTTTCATTCAAGTATGTCACTCAAGTTCTACTGTCACGTACTGACTTGCTTTAAAAGATGCCGTTGATGATGCCACTATGTGTGTGAGTGTTGGGAGAATGAAGTTTATTTCTGCCGCTGACAGATACCACTCTTCACCATCATTTTCAGGTGATGTGATTCTTAATTGTATCTCAGTTTTAAAGGGGTAAGTTAGATCGTGTGGTAGGTTTTGTATGAAAGTGCGCAAACTTGGTCCCTCGTCAGGTTAAAGTCCAGGTTGCATATGTCAATATTCTTCCAGTATTGCATTTTAGCATACGGTACCAGTTTAAAACAAGGTTTTACATGAGAATCTGCAGGATGATAGCATGCCAATAGGAATTACAGGTGACCGTGGTGGGGATTCATTTGACAATCAAGCTTCTTATGTTCTGAAACTTTTTCCTACATACATAAACTAGACATTACTTTTTTTAACAGCGCTATGCGGCGCTAAATGCACAAAGTCCCTTTCATTCATTTAAAAGGAAATGTAATGTTCTATTACCGTGTCCCGACAGCAAGTGTTTCATCACAGAGTTCAGCTGTGTAAGCAAGATCGGACTGAAGACCAGTCATTCTGTGTACAATTTCTACTTTTGAGATTAGCAAGCGGCTGAGATATGTTTGCCTGGTCTGACCTCAGCGGGACTCGCAGGGAGGTCGTGGCACTTCAGTGGCGATTATGGACTTTGCCTTAATAGTTCAAAAGGCTCTTCTCAGTCTGGTGATGTATCCTTCTACCTCTGCTCCATGTAGCATAGCATTCTCATTGTGCTCACAGCAGCCCTGACACTCCCCTTTGTGTGTAGGTGAGAAGTTAGAAGTTAGTGCACAATACCAGCACATGGGTACCGGATGCAGTCTGTGGAAACCAAGCTAACCCGAATGAATGCGAAGAATCTGCTGTGACGTGGATGTTTTTTATTTCCAGCTTAATGTGGTGGAGCATCAGGAGTTGAAAGAGCGTGAAATGATCATGAAGCCCAGATTAAGTGTTGTCTGCTCATCCAGAAGGTCCCAGGTATTACCTGTAAGTATATTTCTTAAGACATTGATTCTATTATATTGTCATTGGATAATCTCATCCTGTTGCCACGTGGCAGACAAACCGCTCTAAACAAGCTACTCTTAAGCTCCAAATAAACCAGACTCAAGATCCTTTAACAAGCTGTTATTATATTATGAAAGAAGCTCCAACTACTTGTTGTTTGGTTCCACAAAAGTTCTCCTCACATCGTAAATGTGGTCCAAGTTGGTTCCAAACCATCTGTTCTTGTTGAAATGGTGTAAATCATCTCAAACAAGCTGCTGTTTGTCTCTAAACACACTGATGCCAAGTAAGCACCTTTCATTTCTAAACATGTTCAAAACAAACTCTGAATAATGCTTTTTATAAATCTAAACAAGCTGTGCACAAAGTTTGACCAGTCGATCAAAGAGCTGTTCTAAAAAGTCTCTATAGAATCAAGCTGCTCTCAGGACGGCTTGTGCTCTAAGGAGTTAGTTCTTAAAACCAATAAAGATCACGCTAATCACAGGACCACGTTTTGTTCATTGTCTTATCTCTGTTTTCAGTCCACATCTGATTTGCTTAGTAAAGCAATCAGAGGACGACCTTTCCAAATAAATGAGAAAATAAGACACCAAGAAAGGAAAACATTTAATGGGATGTGAACAGTTTTACCAGTATCAGCTGTAAAGGCCAAAGTACAAACTTCTCTCTGCGGCAATTGCTGGTGAACATTCTGAATCCAAATGTAATGAATTAAAGGTGGTATTTCCTCACCACCTGCTTTGAACACTGGTTAACTCGACGTGTCAGGATTTCTGTGGTAACAATAAAATGTAAATTGTGCATTTTGATTTGACATTTATACATGAAGTGAATTCTTTGTAAATCCCGTAGTAATGTGCCTCTAACCACGTGGCAGCCCCTCTGCCTGTAGGGTATTAAATCGGCCCTCTCACCTCCCCTGCCAGTGAACTGGGTGATGAAATGAGATAAAGTGGACAACAGGAGCAGCCCAGTCCCCCGCCCCCCCACTGCCACCTGTTTGAAGCATGGCAGGCCTGCAGCTTGTCACCCCTGCCACCTCACCCATGGGGCCTTTCTTCGGGCTGCCGTGGCAGCAGGAGGCCATCCACGACAACATCTACACGCCTCGCAAATATCAGGTAAGGGGGGCGTCCTCCTGCATGTGTGAGCATCAAAGGCTGTGCGTCGCTCTTCTCTTGTGTTCACCTGTGCCTTCCTCCACAGGTAGAACTTCTTGAAGCAGCTATTGAACATAATACTATCGTCTGCTTGAATACTGGCTCAGGGAAGACCTTTATTGCAGTACTTCTAACAAAGGAGCTCTCCCACCAAATCCGGGGACATTACAATGAAAAGGCAAAGAGGACGTTTTTCCTGGTGAACACAGGTACCGTACTCGATGGTCACGGAGCTTTCTCTGTATCTTTCCCAGTCACTGATCCTTTCTGTGCTCTGCAGCTGTGTCTGTAGTTCAGCAAGCGGCTGCAGTCAGGACTCACTCTGACCTGCAAGTGGGAGAGTACACGGACGTGAAGGAGACCTCGTCATGGACGCACCAACGCTGGAGGGAAGAAATAATGGAGAATCAGGTGTGCTCATCATTCTCATGCCACAGACCTACATGTTGGGCACACATGTAGACTGCTGATTATTTACCCGTTGTGTGTGAAATGGAGGTTTACTGCTGATCCTCCGCCTACATTCAGTAGCAATCAGCATTGCTGCTTTCTAGTCATCGATCGGTGTTTAAATCAGCAGAGTGAGACCCATTTACAACACAGGAGCTATGAGCTAATGAACAGCGTTCAAGCTCTAATCAGTAGAACCGAGGAATCGGGATGACGAGTCCCTGAATGTGCTCCACAGACTGGTGACGGGTCAATAACTGCTCCTTCTCCTCCATCTCCCGTACAGGTGCTGGTCATGACCTGCCACATCTTCCTCCACATTTTGAGGAATAAATTCTTACCTTTGTCTAAAATCAACCTGGTGGTGTTTGATGACTGCCACCTGGCCATTACAGACCACCCCTACTGTGACATCATGAAGGTGGGCTGCTGGTGCAACGCCAAATTTACCTTCTTTCCCAAGTGATCTCTGAGTGACCTGCTCTCCCCTGCCTGTGTGCAGCTGTTTGAGGGCTGTCCGGGCAGCCCCCGCATCCTGGGCCTCACAGCCTCCATCCTCAACGGGAAGTGTGACCCGTCAGAACTGGAGCACAAGATCCAGAACCTGGAGAGAATCTTGAGGAGCAACGCTGAAACGGCCACGGACCTTGTGGTGCTGGACAGGTAGGACTCAGGAGGTTTGTCTGGTGCAGGTGACGTACCTGATGCCTTTGGAGGCCGGTGGCAGTAACGCTGTTGGATGTTTCAGATACGCGTCTCAGCCCAGAGAAGTGGTGCTGGACTGTGGCCCCTACACGGATAAGAGCGGCCTCTCTTCCTGTCTGCAGGCGGAGCTGGATGACGCTCTCTACTTCCTGAGTGACTGCAACTTCTGTGTTGGCAGAGAGGACCGCGACCCCACGTTCATCTCCAAACAGGTCCCAGCTGCAAGCCCGCATTCACCTGTTGTTGTTGTTGTATTTGAGACTATTGGAAGATTTTCACCTCCTTTTTCCATTCAAATGAGTGTGTGTACTATGATTTACAAACACGAGTATTCTTCCACCACAAACGGGACAACAAGGGATTAATTCACACGTCTGTAACATAATGGTTTTGCTGTAGACGCTGTGGTGATACTGCAACATGTTGGATATGTGGTCACTTCCAAACTATCCTCAATAATGCTGAAATGATGCCTCTAATCTTCCAAATAACCCAGACTAATGCTGTTATTAAATAGTCATAATGTTATTTTACTGTCTCCCTTTGCAACGTGTGCAGAAAAGTCACTTATGCTGCTTCACACCAAAAGCAAAGTGAATTTTCGCCACGCTTTACTCGAGTTTGCTCGCCTGACCAGTTGTAGTTATTTTGCTTCATTCCCATTTTTTTGATCTTCATTAATCCCGCCAGAAAGGGGGCGTGGCTTATATCCGTTACTTTTACATTACATTACATTACAGGTCATTTAGCAGACGCTTTTATCCAAAGCGACTTACGTTACACTTTAAACCCATGGCTTTTTCACATTTTTGCCCGGGGAGCAGACGGGGAGATGACTGCGGCTTCAGGCGGACCAGCAGCCGGTCTGATGACCCGCTGTGTCGGCTCAGTGGCGCCGTCTCTCGGTCACGCTGTGGCTGCAGGACGGCGGTGATGACGAGCGGAGCATCTCAGCGCCAGTTGGCTTTCACTAGACCACGTCGGGTGAATTTTTCGCCCAAAGTTGGAATATTTAGCTTCCCACACGCCGCGACTATCGCGCCGCCTGTTTAAAATGCCTCTGTGCATTGACTTTACGTGGAATCTACTCGCTTGGCTTTTGGTGTGAACGCAGCATTAGACACCAGTGGATATGACCAGAATACTTCCTTACTTCTCAGGGCTTTTGGGAGAACAAGGTGTACGTGGAATGTTCTTTAGAGTCTGGTCCCTGTAGTCCAAATGCATTGAGTTCTTTCTCAATGTTGTGGGAAGATTCCCGGGCTTCTGGAAACCACCGGCCCTGTACAGCTCACGTTTTGGTGATGAGGATAACGGCTCATGTGCTGGTTTCCTCGCGTCAATATGCAGTTAAAGTTGAAGACTTTGAGGCCGTAAGTGAGAGAAAAAAACTCAAATCCAGCTGCTGTTGTCTGTGTCCTGTCCAGGTCCTGGGGGACTGTCGGGCCGTGCTGCAGGTCCTGGGTCCCTGGTGTGCCGATAAGGCAGCGGGCATCATGGTGCGGGAGCTCCAGAAGTACATCAAACACGAGCAGGAGGAGCTCAGCCGCAAGTTTCTGCTCTTCACTGACACCATCCTGAGAAAGGTGCACGCGCTCTGCGAGGAGCACTTCTCGCCGGCCTCCTTGGACCTCAAGTTCGTCACCCCCAAGGTCCTCCGGCTGCTCGAGATCCTACACGAGTACAAGCCCTTCGAGCGGCAGCAGTTTGAAAGCGTGGAGTGGTACAACAACCGCAACCAGGACAACTACGTGTCGTGGAGCGACTCGGAGGACGAAGACGAGGACGAGGAGGTGGAGGCCAAAGAGAGGCCCGAGGCCAACTTTCCCTCGCCCTTCACCAACATCCTGTGTGGCATCATCTTTGTGGAGAGGCGCTACACAGCTGTCGTCCTCAATCGGTGGGTCTGCGTCACCCTCTTGTTCAGGCTGCAATGTGGAGCGAACCAGAACCGTGACCCTGGTGAAAGGGGTTCCATGCTGACTCTGTTTACTCCTCAGTCTGATCAAAGAGGCGGGGAAGCAGGACCCGGAGCTGGCTTACATCAGCAGCAACTTCATCACGGGCCACAGCATCGGCAAGAACCAGCCGCGCAACAAGCAGATGGAGGTGGAGTTCAGGAAGCAGGAGGAGGTGAGCATGCAGGAGTCCCTCACGGGCATTCAGGGGGCGGGGCTCCACGTCCCTCAACCAATGAGAGCATTTGGAGGCGGGCCTAAAGGTGCAGTGGCGAATGTTTCCGTCGTGTCCAACGCTCTTAACGCGGATTATTTCTGGTCAAAAAGGGGGCGTGACCTATCACGCTGAAGTTCAAATTCATTTTATTTTGTAGAGCCCAAAATCGCTTTACAGTCTGCACACATACAACATCCTCTGTCCCCAAACTCACCATCGGCACAGAGAAAACCCCCAAAAAAGAAAACCCTTCCATGGGGAAAAAAGGGAAGAAACCTGAGGGAGAACGTCAGGATAATTGTGAGTAGTAAGGGGAGAAAGCACAAAAAAACTCCCTGAAAGAAGCTGAATTAGTCATGTGCATTAATAAAACGTGAATTATTGTAGAAGGAGAGCGTGAGAGAGGAGCATTCCGCAATGGTTTTTCAATCTTCATTGATTGTGGACGACATAAGACTCTGTACCTGCAGCCGCGGAGCGCGTCGCAGCCCCGCGTTAAACCTCCCCGGCTGACATTTACTTGAACCCGACTGAATCGCACCAAACCCGATGCTTCGCCCGCTCAGTGTCTCTTGCACTTACTGTTTTTTTCTTTTATTCATATAGGATATATTTTTTTCACATTCCGATTCTAATGTCTATTCTGACAAATACGTTGTTAGCACTTTGAAATAGCTTTTATTACTATGCTATTATATTGTCATGATGTTATCATTGCATAAATGTCATAAAATGGTCTAAAAATAGCAATAATATCGCAATAGATGTTGGTGCAATAATCGCACAACAGAAATGTGACGTTGTCCTATACAGCCCTACATGGTGGTAGCAAAGTGTCTCTGTCCGTCCCCTGTTCCATTCACACCCTCACAAGACAACATTGCATTCCATAAATAAAACAATGTGGGAAACTTGTATATTTTGTAGAAAATGTTGATTTGTTTTGTCATGTCATGTCATTTCACGCCTGGGATCAAAGACTTTATTAGACCCACTCTTTTTTGTTCTAGGTTCTCCGCAAGTTCCGGGCTCATGAAACCAACTTGCTGATCGCCACCAGCATCGTGGAGGAAGGCGTGGACATCCCCAAGTGTAACCTGGTTGTGCGGTTCGACCTGCCTGCAGAGTACAGGTCCTACGTCCAGTCCAAAGGCCGAGCCCGAGCTCCAGTCTCCAACTACATCATGCTGGCGGACAGTGAGAGGACCAGGACCTTCGAAGATGACCTTACCACCTACAAGGCCATTGAGAAGGTGACCGTCTGTCTCTTTGGGTCAGCTAGTGGTTGATTGTCTCAACAATGTGCAGAGAAATGTAGGTGCTGATCCCCTCTGACCTGTGAGCAGATCTTAAGGAACAAGTGCTCCAAGACGGTGGAGGTGAGTGAGTTTGAAGTGGAGCAGGTGCTGGACGATGACGACGTCCTTCCACCCTACGTCCTGCACTCTGAGGACGGAGGTCCTCGGGTCACCATCAACACAGCCATCGGACACATCAACAGGTAGAAGAATGTTCCTGCCGTGTTAGATGTTGGCTATCATTGTATTTATTAAGACTCATTAGGTATTGATGAAATGGTCATTCTGTGCACTAAGTATCAAATGGGAGGCAAGTAAATGGAAGCATCGTGCTTCAAACTGTTGGATATACAGATTTTACGTCAAGTTTTCTAGTAACGGTCACATGGGCTCTAAGACTAATTAAATCCTCCCGCAATGGCTTTTTGTGCCCTCATCTCTAACGCTCCCCTGCGTACCTGGGGTCCACCTGCCTGTGGTGCTCAGGTACTGCGCCCGGCTGCCCAGTGACCCGTTCACCCACTTAGCACCCAAGTGTAAAACTGCTGAGAGGCAGGACGAGCGCTTCCAGTCCACTCTGTACCTGCCCATCAACTCCCCTCTGCGAGTTCCTCTGAAGGTGAGCTGTAGTGACGCTTACGTCCTCCTCGCGCTGGCACCACTTCTCTATACAGTAACATGTCCCTGTTTCCACAGGGGCCCACAATGAGCTGCGCCCGGCTGGCAGAGAAAGCAGTCGCACTTCTATGTTGCGAGAAGCTTCACAAAATCGGTAGAACCACAGATGTGTGAACGTGAAACCCCCGTCAGCCGCCGTAGGGCCTGCGTGACTCTGTCCTCCCGTTCTCCTCCCAGGTGAGCTGGACGATCACCTGATGCCGGTGGGGAAGGAGACGGTGAAGTACGAGGAGGAGCTGGACCTCCACGATGAGGAAGAGACCAACGTTCCAGGCCGGCCCGGCTCCACCAAGAGGAGGCAGTGCTACCCCAAAGCCGTAAGACACTCGTCCAGTGATCAACCTGTAGCTCACGGGTTACGCGTTACATCTAAAGCAAAGAAGGGGACGTGATTTAAACCAGTTGAGGTGAACGTACACGAACAATACAAAGGAGTTAAACGCTCGGCCCCTTTGTCCTCCTCAGATACCCGAGTGTCTGCGGGACAGCTACGCTGTGTCCCAGCAGACCTACTACCTGTACGTCATCGGCATGGTCCTCACCACGCCTCTCCCTGATGAACTCAACTTCCGCAGGAGGAAGCTCTACCCACCGGAGGACACCACCAGGTGCTTCGGCATCCTGACCGCCAAACCCATCCCTCGGGTACGCCGCGGGCCCAGACCAGCACCTCCGTGTCCCCGCCGTCCTCCCCTCATGGCTGCTTCCTCTCTGTCCAGATCCCGCACTTCCCGGTGTACACTCGCTCGGGGCGAGGTGACCATCTCCATCGAGCTGCAGAAGTCTGGCTTTGCGCTGGACGGCGCGCAGCTGGACCTCATCACGCGCCTGCACCAGTACGTCTTCTCCCACATCCTGCGCCTGGAGAAGCCCGCGCTGGAGTTCAAGCCCACGCTGGCCGACTCTGCCTACTGCGTTCTGCCTCTGAACGTCGGTGAGTAGAACCCTCTGAGGGCAGCGGGAGGACGGCTCGCCGTGCCGAGGTTCTCACCCGTGTCCTCTGTGTCTGCCGCTTCTTTGGCTCCTTCAGTTGGAGACTCCCACATTCTAGACATGGACTTCATGTTCATGGAGGACATAGAGAGGTCTGAGGCCCGCACGGGCATTCCTACCACTCAGTACACCAAGCAGAACCCCTTCACCTTCAAGCTGGAGGACTACCAGGATGCGGTCATCATTCCGAGGTACCACGGTGGCGTCTGCTGTGAACGCTGCTGATGCGGCGTGGCGTCTCTCAAACTCTCTCTCCCTCCCAGGTACCGGAACTTTGACCAGCCGCACCGCTTCTACGTCGCCGATGTGTACACAGACCTGACGCCGCTCAGCAAGTTCCCGTCGCCAGAGTACGAGACGTTTGCCGAGTACTACAAAACAAAGTACAACCTGGACCTGTCCAACCTGAACCAGCCGCTTCTGGACGTGGACCACACCTCCTCCAGGTCAGCAGCACGGCGGCCCGGCACGCAGATGTAGCTGGGTCTTTTCTTATGATTCGACAGGTGGATTCCCATCGGCCTGTTGGGGAACGTCATCATCCATGCAAGTCTTTACCAGAGCACACGTGTGTTTAAATGATGATGGAACCAGACCTGCAGGCTAGTTGTCTCCAGGAGAAATGAGCTGCCACTAACAGAACTGCAACACCGAGCTCATTGCAGCCCGTTGCATTGTGGGTAATTAAGCTGCCATGTTTTTGATGTGGGAGACCAGCGCAAGTAGTGAATAACTGTGCATCTGCGTTTTGCATTGAGTCTGGCTGTAGGAGGTTTGTACGTGCGCAGCGTTCTGACCGGCTTCCTCTGCGCTCTCAGACTGAACCTGTTAACTCCTCGCCACCTGAACCAGAAGGGCAAAGCACTGCCCCTCAGCAGTGCAGAGAAGAGGAAGGCCAAGTGGGAGAGTCTGCAGAACAAGCAGGTAAAGGACACTGTGGTGCTCCCAGGGGGGGAAACTCCGCTCCTCCTCCTTTTCAGTGAGAGAATTCCTGTTCGGGAGTTCTGGGGCGGAATAAAGCGCAGTGCAGCTTTCACATCACTCGCACGCCGTCGTCCCAGCTACAGGAGAAAGGGTCTTGCCCAAGCAGTGTTCATTTTGGCAGCTATTTTTGATTTAGTCTTTAGACGAAAATGCATATTATTTTTAGTCACATTTAGTCATTTTGCTGACAGCTGAGCTAAACTAACGAAGCCACGTTCAAACTCGCCGCAGCGTAAAATAGTCGTCGCGGTCCGTAGTCGGTGCACAAGAACCACCGCTGCACCGATACGAGCGTTCTGGGTTGGTGGATGACGTCATCATGACGCGTTAATATCCGCCGTACTTTGCCTGTCTGTTGTCTGTCAGCTGCGGGCGAATTTAGGGGAAATTTTAACGTATTTTAATCTATTTAACATGCATTAATTATGTAATGAATGAATCTGCACAGATTCAAATCCAGTGTAGTTATCAATAAAAAGTCCCCTAACATCTGGGCATTTGTCTTCCGTTGGAGCGCTTAAAGTCTGCATTCATTCCCGGGACAAACGAGGGACAGAATCTGATAGGACAGATATTGGAGAACTTTTAGGTGACATGCGCCCCCCTGCGACCGCGCCCGTCTAACCTGCTGCTGCGCTTATCAGATCCTGGTTCCAGAGCTGTGTGCCATCCACCCCATCCCCGCCTCGCTGTGGAGGAAAGCAGTGTGTCTGCCCAGCATCCTCTACCGCCTCCACTGCCTCCTGACCGCCGAGGAGCTCCGGGCCCAGACCGCCAGCGAAGCCGGAGTGGGAGCCCAGACACTGCCCCCCGACTTCAGGTGCCCAACCCTAACACAGCACATGAGCTCCTGATGACGCTTACTGCAGAGTCACACGACACCTGCTCTCTGTAAGAATAAATCAGGAGATTCCACAGCTGCTGTACGTTAGTAAATACTGACAACAGCTGTATTTGTGTTAAACTGTACGGTATGCAGCGTTTTTCTGGTTCACTGGTAGCTGTCACCTTTTTGCCAGGGACAGTCCAATGGTTTAAGAAAGGTTTTCACTGCAGTGGGTCACATGTATGAAGTCTTTCCATACAGCTGCGTGTTTGCTACCTCACTTGTCGACGATACAAATTCAGAGCATGCTGCATGTGAATGTATAACCCATTATGCTGGTATATCCGTGCCTAAACTGTGAATAAGTAAGAATCACGGCCAATGCGCTGTTGGAAGTCAGTACAGTGTGTCTGTGTGTGTTGCAGGTACCCAAACCTGGACTTTGGCTGGAAGAGATCCATCGACAGCAAAGCGTTCATCTCCTTATCCGACTCCGGCAGCGAGGACGACGAGGCCGACTGTCCGTTCCAAGAGACTGAGAGCCCTGACCGCGATCCGCTATCCCGCCCCAGTAGTTGCAGCTCCCCCCAGCCCGAGCAGGGGCCCCAAGCGGCCCCCGGGCCCGGAGAAGCCACGTGCACGAGGAATCTAACCAACGGCACCGCCCTAGTGACCGACATGCATGAGGAGCCCCTTCACCAACATGACAACTGCCAACGCTCGCAGCTCGGCTCCCCTGGACGGGCACCAACCACTACCTCAGCTCACAGCCCTCCGCCGCCGAGTGATGGATGCACACCAGGGAGGACCTGGCACCACGCATTTAAAGCTACCTCAGTCTGCAGCCCGGCAGCAACGGGTCCCGACGCCCCCGCAGCATCTTCTCCCCGTCCGGCCGCGGCCCCGCATCACGAGGCCCCGACCAGAGACTCCCCCAAAAGCCTGGGGCCCAACCCCGGCCTCATCCTGCAGGCCCTCACCCTGTCCAACGCCAGCGACGGCTTCAACCTGGAGCGGCTGGAGATGCTCGGAGACTCTTTCCTCAAGCACGCCATCACCACGTACCTGTTCTGCACCTACCCCGATGCCCACGAGGGCCGCCTGAGCTACATGCGCAGCAAGAAGGTGAGACGCTGCCTCGCTTGTTATGAGGACAACGGAGAATCAGACGAGTGTGCTGGGAATTGGGTTTGAGGCACGGTGGTAGCGGGTAACGTAGCGGAACAATATAACACGCAAATAATTAGAAATGTACAAATATTCCAGTTGCAGCTTCTTCCATCCTACATGTTTTTCATTTTTGAGTTTCCACCGACATGCCGAAGGACTTTGTTTGCCAGCTGAGCTGATCCGCTGTAGACTATGAACCTTCCCTTTACTGGCATTGATTTAAAAGAAAATGGTCTGGTTTCGAACTATTGGTACAGTTTGGTGTAAACTCTGTCATTAGAGCGCTGGTTCTTCCCTGAGCAGTTAGAAGTGCTGTGCTTGTACTGTGTGCTGCGTGACGCTGATCCACAGTAACAAGCCCCGGATCATTGCTGTAAAGGGCGGCTCGTGCACGTGTCCGTGCACCGATCATCAAGCAGCACGCAGGGAGGCTTTTCAGGGGTCATTTTATTAGTTTTATCAGACAAATGGCCCTTTGAGGTGTCTTTGGGCCACGCAATTCGCCCCAACATTCACACCACAGCTGTGACTGTGGTGTGAATGTGTGTGGTAGCACCTGTTGTGTGTGTGGGGCTGCAACTAACGATTATTTTGATAATCGATTAATCGGTCGATTATTTCTTCGATTAATTGATGAATCTGATTTTTTTTTAAACCGCATTAAAAAGCTTTAATTTCCAACCCTTTATTCTGAAACAACTGCAAATTCACAGAAAGTCCAGGTTGCTCCTTGAACATAATTTCTAAAAAAGAAAAATACAAATCAGAAAATTTAACAGGATTTGTTTTAACGTCAGAACTCTCACAAACTCAACCCCATGCTCACTTAAAGCTTATTGATTAAATGATTACCATCATTAAGTTAAGTAAATGTATACAGCTAAAAAACAACCAAGTGCTATGAGATGAATTTAAAATGGAATTTGTAAATAAATGCATTATTTTAATGGATCACCGTGTGTCTCCCTTTACTCATCAGTGAGTGAATGTTGAGTCCATTCACAGGTCGTGCATCTTTTCATTGGTCAGCCCTCAGTTTCCATCACTTAAATGTCCAGGAAGCCGTCGACAGCAAACGTTCTAAAGTAGGTTTCATCTGATCCTCTCCTCCAGGTGAGCAACTGTAACCTGTACCGTCTGGGGAAGAAGAAGGGGCTCCCCAGCAGGATGGTGGTGTCCATCTTCGACCCCCCCGTCAACTGGCTGCCTCCTGGATACGTGGTCAACCAGGACAGAAGCAGCCCGGACAAACTGGACTCGGAGGAGGTCAGTGGACCTCGTGCTTCTCAGTAAACTCAGTGATCCCACTGCTGCTCACAATTCAATTCATTTTGTATAGCCCAAAATTGCAAATTACAAATTTGCCTCAGAGGGCTTTACAGTCTGTACACATACGACATCCTCTGTCCCGAAACCCTCACATGGGCTCAGGAAAAACCCTTCCAACAGGGAAAAAAGGGAAGAAACCTTAGGGAGAACGTCAGAGGAGGATCCGTCTCCTGATGGACAGACTACAATGGATGCCAGATAGAACCACCATCACATAGAACCACCATCACATAGAACCACCATCACATAGATCAGGCTAACCTGAGCCAGCCCTAACTATAGGCACAATCAAAGAGGAAAGTTTTAAGTTTTACTTTAAAAGAGCTGACCGAATCTGCCCCCTGGACTGAAAGTGGAACCTGGTTCCACAAAAGAGGAGCTTAACTGAAGGCTCTGGCCCCCAGCCTACTTTTTAAAACCATAGGAACAACAAGTAACCCAGCATCTATGGAGCACAGCTGCCTTGTAGGGCAATACGGTGTTACAAGCTCTTGAAGATACAACGGTGCCTCACCAGCAAGTGCCTTGTAGGTGAGGAGAAGTACCTTAAAATCTATTCTTGATTTAACAGGGAGCCAGTGCAGAGAAGTTAATAGAGTGATATGATCCCTTTTCTTAGTTCTTGTTAATCACGTGCTGCAGCATTCTGAATCAACTGAAGAGGCTTAAGGGATTTACAAGAGCAGCCTGATAACAAAGAATTACAGTAGTCCAGTCTGGAAGTGACAAACGCATGAACTAATTTTTCTGCATCACTTTGAGACAGGAAGTTCCTTATTTTTGATATGTTACGTAGATGAAAATAGGCAGTCCTTGAAGTCTTCTTTATATGGGAGTTGAAGGTCATATCCTGGTCGAAGAGAACTCCCAGATTCCTGACGGTGCTGCTGGGTACCAGAGCAATTCCATCCATAAAAACTGTATCACGTGACAGCTGGCTTCGAAGGCGCTCTGGGCCTATCAGGATAACTTCCGTTTTTTCTTGAAGTCTTAACTAGCTGGTCGGTCTCTTCTGGCTTGATCGACAGATACAGTTGAGTATCGTCTGCATAACAATGGAAGTTTATGCGGTGTTTCCTGATAAAATTGCCCAAAGGAAGCATATAGAGGGTAAATAAAATCGGTCCAAGTACAGAACCTTGTGGGACTCCGTGACCAACATTGGTGGTCTTTGAGGATTCACCGTTTACAAGCACAAACTGGGATCGATCCGATAAGTAGGATTTAAACCAGCGTGTTTGTTGTGGCTTATTCATTGTTGTTATAGAGTTATTACCATGACTCAATCTCTACACACGTCAGTAGTTATGGCGTAACACATATGGGTAAAGTCGTAACCCGGTATACCGTTTGAACCCGTAGCCCTAGAGTCAATTCTACGTATGAACCCTTCTGAATTAAAGGGGTCCACGTGTCTCTCTGCGTTCATCATCCAGGCCCCGGAGGAGCCTGCGGCGAACGGGCAGCCTGAGAACGACTCCGACATTGAGGAGGAAGACGCTGAGGAGCTGGACGAGGACGGTGAGCTGATGCTGAAGGAGGAGCCAAAGGACGAAGTCAACATGGAGGACGACTTGGAGTACTACAAGGAGCACATCAAGTTCATCGACAACATGCTGCTGGGATCCGGCGCGTTCGGTAAGAAGATCTCGCTGAGCGGCTTCCCTCCCCCTCCCGCCCCGGCGTCGGGCTCCTCCACCGCCACGGAACCCCCCTACGAGTGGAAGGCGCCAAGGAAGCGCCACCAGCCGGCGGCGGCCCACTACGCCTCGGAGCCGGCGCCCAGCGCGGAGGAGTTTGACTACAGCTCCTGGGACGCGCATGTGCTACCTGGACCCCAGTAAGGCGGGCGAGGAGGACGACTTCGTGGTGGGCTTCTGGAACCCGTCCGAGGAGAACTGCGGCGCGGAGCTGGGCAAGCAGTCCATCTCTTACGACTTGCACACGGAGCAGTGCATCGCCGACAAGAGCATTGCCGACTGCGTGGAGGCTCTGCTGGGCTGTTACCTGACCAGCTGTGGGGAGCGAGCCGCCCAGATGTTCCTCTGCTCGCTGGGCCTCAAGGTCAGCACGGTGCCAGCTGCCAAGTCCACGGGAGCCTTTCCTACGACTCCCCTTTTCCCAGCTGTCCCCTGCTATTCACTGTGGTTTTACATCAGGTGTTGCCGTTGGAGAGCGGGACCCCGACCGGAGCGCTGGTGCAGAGCGGTCAGACCTCCACCCGGGACCTGAGCTACGGCTGGCTGAAGATCCCGCCCCGCTCCCTGCTGGACCACCCAGACGCAGAGCGAACCCTCAACCACCTCATCTCCGGCTTCGAAAACTTCGAAAGGAAGATCAACTACACCTTTCAGAACAAGGCGTACCTGCTGCAAGCCTTCACCCACGCTTCCTACCATTACAACACCATCACAGGTCAGACGATTATTCACTTTAAATATGACATGGTCCTCCATCACCCCGTCCGCCCCTTGATCCACTTAACAAGCACACACACATTTGTCCACCGTTCCATTGGTCCATCCGTCCGTCCGTCTTTTCATCCAAAGTGTCACGTTGTTGAAGATGACCAACGAACTCTGGATAATATCGACATACACATATATAATGACGTCATACATCAAACTCCGATGTTTTAGCCTTCATTCATAAAACAGTCAGACCTACATGAAGGATTCCAACATCTAACGCTGTGGTGACTTCACCCAGTCACAGCAGCTCTTTCACTGGAGTCACAGACCTGGAGGTCTTTGTGTGGCTGTTTTTACTCAGCAGCAGTTTGTGATGATCGTCTGAGGGTTTAAGGCATTTGATCCATTAGAGCGTGAATGTTGAATACGGCGGCCACGTGTACGACGCTTCCTGTTGTTTCTCTTCAGATTGTTACCAGCGGCTGGAGTTCCTTGGCGATGCAATTCTAGACTACCTCATAACAAAGCACCTTTATGAAGACCCGCGGCAGCACTCTCCCGGCGTGCTGACCGACCTGCGCTCAGCACTCGTCAACAACACCATCTTTGCTTCTCTGGCCGTCAAGTACGACTACCACAAGTACTTCAAGGCCATCTCGCCGGAGCTTTTCCACGTCATCGACGACTTTGTGCAGTTTCAGCTGGAGAAGAATGAGATGCAAGGCATGGACTCCGAGGTGAGTCCCGTATCCACAAAACAACAATGCAGCTGCCGCCTTTGTTTAATGTTCCAACAGGTTTAATCTCAGCACCCGGCTTTTGCCGTTTGTAAATAGGTGCCAATCCACGGCTCTGCTTGCTGAGTCAATCATTCACACCTGTGCAGCGGTTGGGTCTTGAATGGCCACGCCCCCATCAGGGCAGTTAGGGGCAACACTCGCATCTTTATCTGCAGGACAGCTGCAGGCATCAGGGACGTTTTCTCAGTGCTGTGCACATGATGTGCATGTGCATGTGATCTGGTGGAAGTCCTCGAGAGCGAGTGTCTAGTCAGGAGAACTAGAGGCATTTCTACCAACAAACAAACAAACAAACAAAACCTGAGCGTCACAACAGGGAGTCATCATGCGTTCCATCATGCCGATTAACGAAATCCCATCTGTGTGTTTGGGCAACAAGCTGCGTCGCTCCGAAGAAGACGAGGAGAAGGAGGAGGACATCGAGGTCCCTAAGGCCATGGGGGACATTTTTGAGTCGCTGGCCGGCGCTATTTACATGGACAGCAGCATGTCCCTGGAGACGGTGTGGCAGGTGTATTATCCGATGATGATGCCCCTCATAGGTGAGCGGGGCGTTTGTTTGCATTCCTCATTGAGCCAGTGGTGATGGTGTTTGTGGTGACCCCCCCCCCCTCATTCCCTCTCCACCTCCAGAGAAATTCTCTGCCAACGTGCCCCGCTCTCCTGTGAGGGAGCTGCTGGAGATGGAGCCGGAAACCGCCAAGTTCAGGTAGGCTCCTCCTCCCGTCGACACACGGAATGTGGAATAAAGGAGGACGGAAAGTAGATGAGCACAGAACCACTTGGGTTGAGAGAAAAGGACCACCGTCAATAATAGTCCTGCATGTGCTCAGCATTCTGTCAGCAACATGAGATGCGCGAGGTACTAACCGCCCCCGTGTCCCCCCGGTCAGCCCCGCAGAGAGGACGTATGACGGGAAGGTCCGGGTGACGGTGGAGGTCGTCGGGAAGGGCAAGTTCAAAGGAGTCGGCCGCAGCTACCGGATCGCCAAGTCGGCGGCGGCGCGACGGGCGCTGCGCAGCCTCAAAGCCAATCAACCTCAGGTCCAAACCAACTGAGCCCTCAGCATCAGCACCGAAGCTACTGACGCCGGCGGAAGGGAGGAGAAGAGGCTGTGACGCATCCTCAGAACTGATCTCACATCTTATTTCATTGTTTTGTTTTCTTGTTTTGCGCAAACACAATCTCTGCTTTCCCTCTCGGCTTCGTGTAATCACACCAGTGCTTTATCAACGTTCTGCCAAGTGTCAGGTCACCATGTCTCCTCCTCCTCCTCCGTTCAATGCGAGGAGGCCCCTGCTTATTGTGTGGAGGGCGACTGTACATAGTTCAGTCAGAGGAGTAGGAAGAAGGAAACAACGCGCCCTTCTGTCAGGAAACGGTATTCTTCATCATGTTTGCACTTATTCCATTAGGGTCTGTTACTTTGACAATGTGTTGACAGCAAAATCCTATTCGTAGCAAAGTCTATAAATATATATATATGAAACACAAGAGGTGAGTGATCTGCTCGGCCCCTTACTGCTAAACGGAATACCAACATTCCCACTGACTGTAATTTAAAGTAGTTCATGCTCCTCTGAAGGTCCGTGCGAGTGGCGTCGGCGGTTTGGACTCGTTCTCGTGCACTAAATGTCTCGCTGATCGGAGGACGCATTCCGCGTGCTACAGACTTTTCTACTCTGGACACTGGTGTTAAGGCTCAGATTGTGTCTTGTGTCCTCATGCCGCTGTGACACTACGAGCCGCCGTGTGTTTGGACTCATTCTGCTTCTGGCTAAATGTCCTTTCCCCTTCATCCATGAGCCCTTTTCACTTGAATACCTCAGTTAATTGCATGCATTTCCTCGTCTCTATATATATATTCTTTTTGTTTGGTGCTATGTTTTTGTATTAAGCTTGAATTTCTCATCTTTTTTTGCACTGTAACTATAATACCTCTTTATTTGACCTCTTGTTTTTGTTTTGGATCAGTTTGATTTGGTTGGCCGTTGGCCGGCCGGCTGCAGCCTCGTGTCCTCCTTCCTCCCCGTGCTCGATGTCGACAGTGGGGGGGCGGGGGGGGTCTTCCTCGTTCACCAGCTATTCATTTGATCAGTTGAGAATGTGTTTGTGAATTCAGGGTACAAACAACAGAGGGTTGACTGATGCAGAGCGCCACGGAACCAGCGCTCGACTACCGAGTGTCCTCATGAGGGTCCAAAGAGACCTTTGTCCCCCCAGTCTGATCAGCCCACCAGCAGGTGCTTCTACCTCACAACAGGAGACCGATACGGACGTCTCTCTGCCCCCCGCACACAGCTGTCTGTCTCATGTCCTCAAAGCAAACGACACTCTGTCCCACAGAGGGACGTACGTCCCACACGGTTTGAGGCAAGTATTCCCGCAGCATGTGGCCCCTCCCACCACGGAGGGAAGGTGACCGGCCTCTTCAGAGAAGGGGGGGGGGGTCACACACACACATTTAGGCTCAGTACATTAATTAGGACTTGTATCATATTAAGTCTGTGGGGGGGGGGGGGACTAGACCAGGACGTGGACTCACGCGGTGCCCCACACACTCTGTCTGAGGGAGATATCATGACATCATGTTGAGTATGTTTTAGGTAAAGGGGCGGGGGGGTCGAGGGGGGGTCTGGAGTCCAGCCGACCATGCGTTCTCCTACTGGCTCTTTAATGAATTCTTTTTGTACATGTAGCACAATGGATGATTGCACTTGGGCGCCATACGTGACCTCATGCCCCCCGTGTGAGGAGGGGCAGAGAACAGAAGTGCACATACGATGGGGGGGGACGAGTCCCCTGAGAGCCCCAAACCTGCCAGTTGGTTATCATGTGAGAATCGAGCAGTTTGGGGCTAAAGTGTGTGTGTGGGGGGGAGTCAGTCAGAATCCATCAGGATCCATCATCAACAACAACCCCCCTCCTGTCCTGCTGTGGGTGCATGGTGAGTCACAGCCGTGGCCCCACTCAAAGGGTCTGAAAAAACTCATTTGAATGAATTTTAACCTGAGAAGCAGCTGTCTGATAAATGTATTGCAGTGAAGCCGAGGCCAAGTACTACATGGCAGCTACGTGAGAGGACGGAGGACAGGAGTGTGATGTTGGACCGTCTCCTCAGGGCGATGCAGTGGCCGCTTTAGCTTTAATAAGTCACTTAGCGATTTTAATATTAGTTCCTTACAATTTGACTCGACGTCCACTGCCGATGCCGATCCTCTGATTCCAGGTCCAGAGCGGTTCTGCCCATGTTTTGGAAGTGGGTCTGGTTGTGTCCGGGCTTTAAGGGAACGGAAACCCACCCAAACAGCGCCCCTCCCCAGCAGCGTTTGGGCTGATTTGATGTGTTGGGTGGAGAAGACGTCCCTGGCGGTGCTGTTGGGATGGAGTGGGGGGGGCAGCCGCAGACCACCAGCACAGTGGGTGGAGCGATAGACTGGGGGGCTCACTCATACTGTACCGGGCTGCAGGGGTTTGCGGTCTGCACCTTATGGATCATCAATACCTTTAACGATGTTTGTTTGGATTTTTTTTTATTGTAGCTCAGTATATCAACAATAAAAGTAATGCTCTCACTTTGGTTCTGTTCTGCTGATCTTCATTCACATGGCAGCCAAGGCTCACGTTGTGTGATGTGTGCGAGTCAGCAGAAGATGTTTGTGTTGTGATTCATGCTTTCTAGTGTCCCAGAAGAAGAGCAGAGTGCGGAACACTGAACAGCCTTAATGAACGCCGGTCTGTCCAATCAGAAGCGTCCGTCCTGCTTTCCGTAAGGAGTTCATTCCGTTTCTTACTTGTCCACGTCAGCAGGTCACTTCTCAGTACAGGAGCTGAAAACCACGATAGAGGGAAGTGGGAATACGGCGCCCGGGCAACACCAATTATGCTATGCTATTTTTCGGCAACTACCAGAGGAAGGAAATGCTTCTCAAACTATGATTTGGAGGGACGGTGAACTGCCCAACAGCTGGAAACGTGCATTGATTGTACCTTTTTGCTAAACCTGCTGGATATTTATAAGACGTGCTGAATGGATGCTGACTACACCCAGAATAAAGGAGTTTGGATGGAGCATCGGCTCAGCAGTCAAGGGGGTCTGGTTAAGTGGGGTTGAGTATGTTCCCAATGTAATGTGGGGAAATGTTCCACCGTGGATCTAACACTAATAGAACGGGGGGAACGGGTGTGATATTTGCCATCAAACTCAGGAGTACATAAACAATACATACTATAAATATACACTGATGGATCAAAAGACAATGGGAGTGGACACGTGGGAGCAGCGGTAAACAGAATTTAATAAGGCTATTTGCTAAATAATTAAGGAATAGGAAGAGGTCGGGCCTGAGGGGGGGTGGAAGAGGTCGGGGCTGAGGGGGGGTGGAAGAGGTCGGGCCTGAGGGGGGGTGGAAGAGGTCGGGGCTGAAGGGGGGTGGAAGAGGTCGGGGCTGAGGGGGGGTGGAAGAGGTCGGGCCTGAGGGGGGGTGGAAGAGGTCGGGGCTGAGGGGGGGTGGAAGAGGTCGGGCCTGAGGGGGGGTGGAAGAGGTCGGGGCTGAAGGGGGGTGGAAGAGGTCGGGGCTGAGGGGGGGTGGAAGAGGTCGGGGCTGAGGGGGGGTGGAAGAGGTCGGGGCTGAAGGGGGGTGGAAGAGGTCGGGCCTGAGGGGGGGTGGAAGAGGTCGGGGGTTAGGGGGTGGAAGAGGTCGGGGGCCTGAGGGGGTGGAAGAGGTCGGGGTAAGGGGGTGGAAGAGGCAGGGCTGAGGGGGTGGAAGAGGTCGGGGCCTGAGGGGGTGGAAGAGGTCGGGGCCTGAGGGGGGTGGAAGAGGTCGGGCCTGAGGGGGGGTGGAAGAGGTCGGGGCTGAGGGGGGGTGGAACGAGGTCGGGGCTGAGGGGGGTGGAAGAGGTCGGGGCTGAGGGGGGGTGGAAGAGGTCGGGCCTGAGGGGGGGTGGAAGAGGTCGGGGCTGAGGGGGTGGAAGAGGTCGGGCTCTGAGGGGTGGAAGAGGTCGGGGCCTGAGGGGGTGTGAAGAGGTCGGGCCTGAGGGGGTGGAAGAGGTCGGGCCTGAGGGGGTGGAAGAGGGTCGGGGGCTGATCTGACATAAATAACATTTATGTAACTACAACACAAAAAAAATGTGAAGAGCTGAATATGTATTTCTTTCTATTTTGGATGTTTTGTTTTAGCCAGAATTCAGATCTATTCAATCAGAAAATCTTAGCATTTAATAAGCTTGAATAATCTAATAATTGATGGTGGCAGCGTTAATGTTGTGTCTCATGCTATAGAACCAGCTGCATTTCTTAAAGTCCTTGACAGGCAATAACACACATTGAAGGGATACGATTGCATGTTGTTGACAACAGTCGGTATCACCTCACACTCACACTTCTATGTACATTTTAAATTAGACATTGATAATAAATAAGGGACCTGAAAGTACTGAAAATGAGCTATAGGTTGGTTTTCTGAAGTGAACTGAAAATGTCTCTGTCCTGCAGGCTGACTCTGAAGTGTAAGTTCACACACATTGTTAATGTTTATGCTATAATATATAACTGATATATACATTGGTCTTCCCATCATAATAATCAGTCTTATCTGTTCTTAACAATAATCACCGAGCGTAAGAACAGTTCTGGAGTGAAATGGGATGTGATACACTGGTTTTCTGAGAAGAATGTAATGTATTTCTCTCTGACTCTTCCTGTTTCCTCTCGGTCTTTAACTACAGAGCTGGTGACTTCACAGTAAGTTCACACATGAGTGCAAACTGAATACACTTTGTATTTATGAAACCCTCCGAGCTGCACTGCCTGTGAGTCTGTCCAGGAATCCCCTTATTAACAAAAGGCTTTTATTCTGAAATAGGTTGCAGAACAGTGAAGGAAAAGGCAGCGACTCTCACTTCTCATGAATTCAGCTTTTAATTGTGGGTTGTTAACATCGTATGAATAAACCCCAATGCTTCTTAAACCTTTTATATTTAAAAATAAATAAAATGATTATATAATTAGTTCATACTAAAATGAACCCGTGTGGTAAAAGAAGAGGCGGCAGCAGCGACTCAGGGAGAGACGCAGGCTGTGAGACATCTGAATCAGTCCACTCAATGACTAAATAAGTGCGGTATTATCGAGGTAGAATGGTTGATATTCTGGTCATGTGAGCAAAATCTTCACTGCACTTTTAGTTTTAGATGTTCCATAAATTGATCTTCAAACTGCTGTTTAAAGTGTGTTTGTGTTGCGTCTTCCAGGTGTCCCCTCTGTCCCACCCTCACGTTGGTAATCTGTGGCAAAGAAATGGATCTCTGGAGACCTCTTTCTGAAGTGAGTTGTGCACTAAGCTCTGGTCACAAGGACCTGTCTGTTGGCTGGACTTGGTTACCGGTACCTGATAGCTGATTTGAATACTGAGAGACTCTTCTCTCACCCTCACCTCTGACCTCTCCTATCTACAACTCATACACTTATCTCTAGGACACATTGCTGTTTTTACAACTCGGACAAAGCAGTTATACTATTTCTGAGACTCTTTTCCAACACAATTGGCTAAACAAAACTGAAAAGTTCATTCAGAAACTGAAAGAAACCACACGTAACCTACATATTTTGTTTTAATTAATAAGATGTACACATTTGATAATTTACAATTGAATGGTACATTTTCAAATACACAATTTCTTATAAAAGTCCATCCATCTTCAGCCGCTTATCCGGGGTCGGGTCGCGGGGGCACCAGCTCCAGCAGGGGACCCCAAACTTCCCTTCCCACATCTACCAGCTGTGACTGGGGATCCCAAGGCGTTCCAGGCCAGTGCAGAGGTATGATCCCTCCACCTGGTCCTGGGTCTTCCCCGGGGCCTCTTCCCAGCTGGCCGTGCCTGGAACACCTCCCTAGGGAGGCGCCCAGAGGGCATCCTCACCAGATGCCCAAACCACCTCAACTGGCTCCTTTCGACGCTCCTCACGAATGGCTGAGCTTCAGTTTGGAAGAGCTGAAGTTCAGAAAGCTGAAAAGTCATTGGCACCCTTCTACTGAAGGAGCTGAATATTTTATTCAATTATTTAATAGCTGAAAAATAAATTGAGTGGAATAAAGCTCAGAAGAACAATAGTTGGAAATGTTTAAAAGCCTCCCAACAGTTATACATTATACCTACTAGGTTATGCAGTTAAATAAACTTAGCCATTCATGGCGGTATTTTCTCATTCTCGTCCCCCTTCCCCCCTCCCTGTCGGCCGGTCGGATGGCCAGCGCCCCCCCTCCCTATGATCCATCAAAACTTCCCTCTTCAACATACATACAGCTACATATTTATATTAAACACTCAAGTATTGACAAAATCCTCTAATATTATCAAACGATTCAGCTTTTTTATATCTAATAAATATTTGAACTATTCCTGATAATATTTCATTCATTTTTCAAACTGTTCCTAACTTCATCGTGGGTGTGCATTGGGAAGCTTGAGTGGTCATTGGAGAGATTTGAGCAGCTTCAGATTCTTACGAAAAAAAATATTTCAATTTTATCAGCATTTCCACAATTTTCCCTCCTTCAGTTTTGATAAAAAGTTATTCATGTATCTGAGACGAGTTCAGAAGGTCCTAAGAATTCCAACAATCATTCCACATTTGGTAACAGCAGCCAGAGATTGAGACGAAGTCCAACCTGTCTCCACCCGCAATAATGCTCAAAGAATGAGGTACGTTCTAGAAACTGTGGCATGAGTGCGATTTCTGACTGCACAAACATATATCGTATATTTCTCAGCTCTCTCACTATATCATTATTTAAATTGATTAAAAAATTCAATAATTAATTCAAAAGTAGTAGTGTATTGCATACTTATTTGTGCAAACAAATCAAGTTATTTGTAAGAGCGTTACTCCCTCTATACAGTAGTAGTTAAAACATTTATTGTAAATTTAAACTTACCTAAATTATTGTTTTTAAAATAAGAGTGAAAGTTCTCAAATATATACTTGTACTTTAAAAAAACCAACCAGGCTTTGCTGCGCCTATATGTCTACATACCTCTTCATCGCCAGGCTTTATTTAAGGAGGGACCTCACTGAACATCTGGGTGGACGTGTTCTCGTATCAGTGTGACTCGGAGGCCTGAACAGAAGAAACGGTTTTCTTTGGCCCATGATGGGGTACAGCGAGCTGTGTCTGTTACTGCTGCTGAGCATGAACACGTTGGCTCGTAAGTAGGAATCCATCACAATGCATCAAATAACTGGGCAGAGGTTTTTCAACTAGAACTACATTGTAGTTTTGAGTGTCCTTTTTCTCAGCAGGCATTTCAACCTCCATTTCTCTGTTAGAAATGATGGCGATGTACTTTTCAAGTAAACCAGGAAAGTGAACCAGCAAAAGCAAAAGGTTGTTTGTTATCTACACCTGTGTGTTTAATGTTGACACGTCTTCAGTTCTCTAGTTAGTGTGATAGTTAAAAGGTTAATAGTTAAAAGGTCTCACCATTTTCTAAGCCCTGGTTCACTCTGCCAAGTACATACAAAAGATCCATCAATGACGCCTGTAAATCTCCTGCGACAAGTCGAAGCATTGATTACATTACTAAGACTTTTGACTAAATCTACTCATTTAAATTTCTTAAATGTTGATTCTGCTATTACCATTTAAGATGCAAAATGAATTCATTGATTGTTCGTGCTAATGTTTGCAATAACTTGGATTTTATTTTGCCGAATTAGATTTCTTTGTCACTCTTAATGATTTCCAATGGTCACAATACCAAAAAGATAGTCTTGCCCTTGTTGATGTTTCAGTTTACTTAAAATGCCTGAATAATTATCCTAAGATAATGAACACTTATAAATCATTTTTATGTCTCTTTTTTGGTTTACAGAGGACGGCAATGCCAGTGATGAACTAACCTCATCATGTCTGTGTAAGTTCTACACATCTTTAAACATATTCAAGCTCCATGGCCCAATTAACAAAACTATCCTGTATTTTGATAAGGAAAAATATCCTGTTTAAAAGGTTGGTATGTAATGTAATGTGAATTTGACGGTGTGTGCATATGTATGTGAACAGAGTAGATAAAGGAGGCAAGTTGAACGTTGTCCCAAACAAACTTATTGACCTGTTAGCAGATCGATGGTGGCTTCGCTAAACTAATAAACACATGATCCTTTTTCTGGAGTTCATGGACTTCTGCTCCTGTGCTGTTTATGATTTACTGCAGTAGAAGTAGTTTGCTTCTGGAAACCTCCTTTTAGGTCAAACTCGGTCCAAATGATTGTTACCGTGTAACAATGTGGAACTTTGACTGTGGACAGAAATTGCCTTCGATTGTAATTAAGGATTCTGATCTTATCCTTAATGGTAGTGATGACTTGAAATCATTTGATCAGAACTCAAACATCTTTGAATGTCAATTTTCCCTTATTAAGATGCAATTATCTCATTGCAGTGGCATCCGGATTCAAAACGTATAAGAAATATGTGTACCAGTACACAACAGAAAGCAGAAACCGTGTGGTAGGCAACCGAAAGAATGGCCCGCAAGTCTCCTGTCAGGTACTTTGCTTTTTATTTGTCCCTTTGCTCTTCCTGTTGGCTCTCCATTGATCCTCTGCCTGCTGTCATACATCTTTAGGTTGAGATTGAAGTCCCCCAAAGGTGTAAATTCATCATGCACACCAGAAACTGTGCTCTCAGAGAAGTCTCCGTAATGGATCCACAGGGTCAGTCGGTCTACAAGCACAGTCCCGGCTCCAAGGCCTTCCAGGCCGCCATGCAAAGGTCAGTGCAAATTCTTCAAGGGATTTGTTACAGCAAAGAGTCTGGGAGTTCAACATGGATTTCTGTTGATAATGTGCACATAACAAGGTAACACAAGCGCTTTACTAAAGCATGCAAACAGTTACATTAGAAAATGGCTCCCATGATTTTGATATGTCAGTTAACAAACTGTATTGGTGGATGGAGAAGCCCAAGACTCTCATGACAGCAATCAATTATCATATAAAATGTCACATCATAAACCAAATAGTCACACATCAAAGTCTTTGAGTATGTATTACATTACATGTTATATAGCTGACGCTTTTATCCAAAGCGACAAACTCAGAAGAACAAGAAACAAGAAAGTGGAATTTCCTCAAATAAGCCAATTTACATTTTGCTATAGATAATTTACAATTTAAGTGCTACAATTTGTTAGTCTTTAGTGGAGGTAGAGTCTGAAGAGGTGTGTCTTTAGTCTGAAGATGTGAAGGCTCTCTGTGGTCCTGGTGTCTTCAGAGACCTCCTTCCACCATTTAGGAGCAGGACAGCAAAGAGTGGAGATCTAGTGGAGTGTTTTGCTCTCAGTGAGGAGGAACAAGCAGTTTATCACATGCAGAGCGGAGAGGTCAGAGGTCGGGGTGTCGGGTTGGACCAGGTCCTGGATGTAAGCTGGACCCCATCCATTCACAGCATGGTACCTGAGCACCATGTTTAGAACTGGATGAGCCACCGGTACCAGTGAAGAGAGCGGAGGAGTGGAGGAGTGAGGGAGAACTTAGGAAGGTTAAAGACCAGTGGAGCTGCTGCATTCTGGATGAGCTGCAGAGGTGAAATGGAGGTAGCAGGAGACCTGCAGGAGAGAGTTACAGTAGTCCAGGAGGGAGACGACAAGAGCCTGAATCAGTACCTCCTTCTGAGTGAGAAGGGGACGTATTCTCCTGATGTTGTAGAGCGAGTATCTACAGGATCGTGTTGTCAGTGATGTTGGAGTCAGGGAGAGTCGGCTGTCGATTGTGACGCCGAGGTTCTTAGCGGTTAAAGTGGGCGTTAACACGGAGTTGCCAAAGTTGACCGTCAAGTCCTGGGTCGGAGAGTGTTTTCCTGGAAAGAGAAGTAGTTCAGTCTTGTCGGGGTTGATTTTCAGATGGTGGGCGGATCCACTGAGAGATGTCAGTCAAACAGGCAGAGATCCGAGTGAGGGAAGGAGAGAATTAGTTGGGTGTCATTGGCATAGCTGTTGTCAGGATCTCCGATCCCCCCGAGTCCGTTGATGAGAAGGATCCAGCCCGATCAATTAAAGTCAAAAAGTTATCATATATTTTGAAGAGAAAAAGATTACATGAGCAATTCTCCGCAGATATCTGGCTCTAACTATTTGTGACCGGATGAGGGTTTTCCCCTCCCTCTTACCTGCTCACAGGGGTGTGGACCAGCATACCTGGGGCTAATTCCGATTGATTGGGAGAGGCGGGGACATTACTTAAGCCTGTGGTGTGTGGACTCGTTTTGTTGTCTTCTCCTGCTGGGTGTCTGTGGAGACGTGTCCGGGAGGCGTGCTTCATGTTTTGGCCGCTGCCCTAGGTCATCATTCTGCTGCGACCCTGTCTTGGTCGTGGATGTCCCCGTGTGGGTGGATGTATGCCTGGACTGCTGGCGTTCAGTGTCTCGTCTGGGCCGCTGTCTGTGAGTGTGTGTGTGCGAGGTGGGTGCCACCGCCGGGGTCCGTTGGCGGCCTGTACTGTAATTCGCTGGACCGGGCTGCAGCCTTGGACATGCTATTCTGGGGCTGTCCTGGTGCCACGACTAATTAAAGGGCCAATATTCCCCGGCGCGTTCTCCCTCCCCCACTGAAGCTGTTCTTGATACCGGCTGAATCAAACTGGTACAAAAATGGCTCTCTATATTGTATTAACTGTACATATTGCATGTGGGTCTTTTCCTTTTTGTTTGCATCTTCCTTATTATGCATGCTGGTTTATTGATTTGAATTGTTTGTTTATTATTGTTTTCTTTATATCACTCATCTACTCCTTAACAAAGAACATATTGTCATTTAAAAAAGAATATTTAACTAAAAAAAAACGTATTTCTATAATTACCTTATGTCTCTGACCCCCTGATTTTGGTAAATGGCTCTGTGTGCCTTAACAAGAATGGTCTTGGGCCTATCCCAAGTGGCGTTGTTGGACATTCGTATTGCCACATATTGCTTGCAAGCAGGAGGTCTTGCAGGGAGGAAATAAGGATCTGGTGATTGACTGTCAGATGCAGCAGAGAGGTCCAGCAGTGTGGAGTTGCTCTGAGACAGCAAGGAGAGCAGTCTCTGTGGAACGGCCTTGAAGCCTGACTGGTGGGGGTCAAGGAGGTTGTTACGATGGAGATAAGAGAGTTGGTTAAAGATAACAAGAGGTGAGATGAGACAGGTGAGGAAAGTAAGAAGGTCAGGAGCGATGTGATGGAATGGGGTCAAGAGGGCAGGTGGTCGGACGGGCAGAGGTTACTAGGGTAAGAATTTGGTTAGGAGAGAGGGGGTGAAGGAGGGAAGTGAGGGCGATAGAGGTGAAGTCAGTGGGATGCAGGAAGTAGGAGGTGGGTTTGAGAAGGAGGAGCGTATGTCAGCTATTTTCTTGCTAAAGTAGTTGACAGTCTCCTGGAAGAAGGGTGGAGGGGGGAGGAGGACTGGGGGGTTCGAGGAGATTGGAGAAGATCGAAAAGAGTTTTTGGGGTTAGAAAATGAAGATTGGATTCTGGATTGGTAGAAAGAGCTTTTGGCAGCAGAGATAGAAGCAGAAAAAGAGGAGAGAAGTGATTGAAACACAAGCAGGTCATCAGGTTGTTTATATTTACGCCGTCTCCTTTCCGATGCTCGCATGGTGGCTCTCATGGCACCGGATCAGACCGACACGGAGCCGCAGGGGATTTGCCAGTCCGTCGTGTCGTAAGAGGGCAGAGAGAGTCTAGAGAGGAGGAAAGAGTTGAGAGGAGAGTGAAGGAAGAAAGTAGGTGTAAGAGGTCAGGTGACTTCTCTGTCTGGATGTTGAAGTCACACAGGAGGATGAGCGGAGGTCCATTTTCAGGGAAGTTGGACAGGAGAATGTCCAGTTCTTCCAAGAAATGACCCAAGGAGCCTGGCGAACAATAAAGGATGATATTTAATTGTACCGGGTGAGTAACTGTTACAGCATGGAATTCGAAGGACAGTTGGGTGGATGGTGATAGAGGGTAAAGAGAAAAGCTCCATTTGGGTGAAATGAGTAGACCTGTGCCACCACCCCTACCAGTGGGCCTGGGAGTGTGGCTGAAGGAGAAGGCGGAGGAGAGAGCGGCTGGGGTGGATGTGTTCTCCAGTGTGATCCAGGTCTCGGTGAGAGCGAGGAAGTCAAGAGAATGCTGCATAGCAAAGCCGGAGATGAAGTCAGCCTTGCGAGTCGCTGACTGGCAGTTCCAGAGACCTCTTGTGACGAGGTGCTGGACATGTGTGGAGCGGGTGGGACCGGTGAGAGAGGAGAGGTTACGATAGAGCAATCTGTCACCTCCCTGCCGTCTTCTTCTCCTTTTGTTGTGTTTAACGGCGGCTTGCATCCTTTTTGATGCATTACCGCAGTCTTCTGGTTCCCAACTAATGTACTTTCCCCATCAGCCCTGTTGCTGGCAAAAAGTGTGTAAGCACCTTCTTCCCAGCTTACTAGACCCCCACTACGGTTTAGCGCTCTTTCTATCATCCCTTGTGTTTGCATTTTTTTCAGCATGTCTTTCCTTTCTGAGTTGTACACTCTAAAAGGCGTAAATTAACAGTATTTTACTGGCAGCAGGGACGCCAGGAATTTACCGTTATTTTACGGTATAATACCGTAAATGATTTTTACACTATGTTACCGTAAAATGGATTACTGTATGTTATCGTAAACTTGAACAAATTTTACTGTGAATTAACTGCAATTTACTGGCAGTCGACGCTAGTAACTTACTGTTTTATTTACAGTGCCCTACCGTAATTTACGGTATGTTGTCATATATTGGATTACAGTTACCATACGATTACTGTTTTTGTGTTATAATACCAGAATGTTACCGTTTACTTATAACCGTATACTTAAATTAAATTAAAGAAAGACAACCAAACTCATTTCGGTCATAGTGGTTGGAGTTTATTAGATGCCTTTAACACAAAAATGTTAGGCATTTGTATCCAAGAACACAAAACATAAAATATGCAGCATGTATACAATAATAAAAAAATGAATCATAAAATCATTAGGAACAAGGTAAACTAACTGCAACAATACGCTATGGAACACTTTCAATTGACCGCAGCAAACGGCTGGCGTCCTTAATCCAGTGCCTCTGTAAAACAAACCAAAATAAAATATTTAGAAACACTGTCATTAGTGAAATATTAAAATTACAAAGTTGAGGAAGAAAACAAGATGTAAGGAAGGAGAATGTTAATCATGAAGGCAAATAACACTTACCAACGTTAGTTGGAGAGACGAGGCAATGAGAAACTCCTCCCATGTTGAACTGCTCAGGTGTTCTGGATGAACTGAGATTACGCTCTGACGTCACGTTCAGGAGCAGTCGGTCAGATTAACACTCAAATGACTTTTAGGCAATGAACACTTTGAATAATACAAATATTTATAATCTTCACATTCCGGCCACTGAAACGACAGCGAAGGCGGCGCATGGGATAGGGAGGGTGTGCTGTGCAGCACAAGGTTGGCGGTTCAAATCCTGGCTGCTCCCTGTGCCAAGTTGAAGTGTCACTGAGCAAGACACCTAATCCCCCAAATACTCCACATAAAATGATGTAAAACCATGGGCGGTAAAAGTGGATAAAAGTGACAGCTGCATGTATAGTAATGTCCTGTTAGTCAAAGTCATCATCGTATCTTATGAGATACTATCTCATCATGATGACTTACAGGACCTGTTTATCACTGGCTGACGTGGGCCTCCATACATTAACCTACAACAGATGTAGATGGATTGTGATTCACTGCACTTGTATGTGTATTTCCACCACTTCATAAAATATATGTAACATGCAGTTGAATTACGGTAGTCTGCTATTATTGTAAATTGACAGCTTTAACTGTTTATTTATGACATTGGCCGTTAATTTACAAGCAAGGGATGGAAATTTAACTGTGTGTTACAGTTATTATGACGTACTGTAAGATACCGTTAGAAATGCACCGTAAATTTACAGCAATTTGTTACAGTGTATCTATTACAGGCGGTGATAACATGTTGTACAGTTTCTGGTGTCTGGCAGTGTTCACAAAGGCTGGTTGGATGCTTTCCGATCAAGCACAATGTGTTACGTAGATTGTTGTGACCTATTCTTAATCTTGAATTCTAATTCCTTCTCTCCCCTGAATTTCACATTGCTCACTTTACTCTGAATTGAATGTGCCCCCCCACCCCCCCCCGTCTCTTGGTCCCATTGTTGTTGCCATACTCCGATAATACTTTTCCTGACAATGCCCTTTCCCTCTGCTTTAGAGATCAGACACTCATCCTCAACCGTTCCCAACAGACATCAATACATTTATAACATTTTTGCACTTATTGCTAACATTTTCAATGTGGTCTTTCAATATTAATCTGTTGTCAAATTGCACTCCTTATAACTGAAACGACTCTACTATTTCTAACTTGTTTCAATAAAGATTCAGCTGTAATTTCACATATTTCTTCGTCTCCCATAATTCAACTGGTTTTATCCCTTGTATTTTGTTCCAAGTTTCTACCTTTTTTCCATAAGGCCCATCATCTGCAAATAGTGACCCATATAGGACTTACCACCCTACCCTGCGGGGTCCCATTTTGACTTCACATTCCCTGGACTTTTCCGTTCCTATTCTTACCTGGATCATTATTTTACTTAGAAACTCCCTTATCCAAAAATCTGCTTAATTCCCATTAAATGCATTTTAAATCAAAAGCGCTTCCCTCCATAGCATATCTAATGCCTTTTCTACATAAAAAAAACACTGCTGCCAGTTTCTTACACTTTCATTCATTTGATGGGTCACTTTGATGGGCATCTTTCCCCGGCTTCCTTAGAGGGACAATCACAGGCTCCTTCCACCTTGCTAGTAGTACCTTCCTCCCACACCTTATTGTATAATGTTAGTACCTTATTCAGCCCCTCTCCACTTCATTGCTTTACCATAATATACCATATTGCATCATTTCCTGGGGCCGTCATTCCAGCTTTGGCAACTGCTTTTTTCCCCCCATTGAAAACAATACATTCAATTCCTCTTCAGTATCCTCCCTCCTCCCAATGCCTTCCTATTTGTACATCTTGTTTCCTCTCTAGTTCGCTTTCCTTTATCAGACAGATTGTTATTGGTGTGTATATGTATCAGCCAATGTCTCAGCTTTCTGTTTATTAGTCACTGCTACCTCCTCTCCAGCTTTTAGCGCAGGATAACTCCACTCTCTTCTGTTCCCTCCCATCGTTCTAATCCCCCACACTTCTCCTACTGGGTTATATTTCCAACTGTGTCACAAAACCTTCTCCAGTGTGTCCTTTTTGCCTGCCTAATTGTCTTTCTCACTGCTGCCTGCACCTTTTTAAACTGTATCATATGTTGATAGTTATGAGTTCATTAACTGAAATGCCCTGTTTCTATTTCTAGTTGCCTCTTTACGCGTATTGCTCCACTGTGGTACAGTTTTTCTACTTGATTTTCCTTTTCTTTTTGCTGTAGACTGTAGGGCAGCTGCCCATATGCCTTCTGTTATAATATCATTTAGGGTTTCTATAGTATGGGGTCAGATTAGTCTCAATGATAGCAAATGCACACAGAACCTCACAAATGCAAACCGGAAGATTCACAGATGTATTCGATTTACAAATGCACACAGAAGGATTTACAAATGCATTTCAATGCACACATCAATAAATTACGATTTATATTTACCGATCGCACCGCATTTATTTGCAGATCGCTTCACATTTGTGTGTGGGTTTTTGAGACTCGTCTTACCACAAATGCGTTCATCGTGATATCAAGATGATGTATTGCTGCTTTAATTATTAACCTCAGCAGTTACATTTATCACCCCTGCTATGAAAGTCAGCAGCTTCTCCTTTTCTGCCCATATCCCACCTTAACTGCCTCTGCATACGATACATTTTCTTTCCTTCTTGTTTGTTGGACGTCCACCTCTCGTCTCATGGCTTCACATCCCCAACATGCAAAACTATGTTTACCCTCACAGTTGCACCCTTTCCCCATTCATGCTCTCCACCACGCCTGGCACACGCCTGGCACACGCCTGGCACACGCCTGGCACACGCCTGGCACACGCCTGGCACACCTTACATTTCCTTTGCACACTTTTGCCACATGCCCAAATTCTGACAGTTGAACATGTCATTGGTTTTGGCGTAAACTCCCATTTTTTATTTAGGGGCCTAAAAGGTTTTGGAACTTTTCTAGCGTATAATGTACGTATGAGTTAGCCTTCAACAGTGTTGACTGTTTAGCGTGGTGCACAGATTATAGCGACCCCTGGTCTGCCCCGATTAGGCTCAAGAGGATATCTTTATGCAAGTATAGATGGACAGTTTTTCTGACGAGTAGCTTGTTTAATACCAAAGAAGCTTCAGACGGGACTTCCAGCTGGGTCTTATCCGTTGTTTGGACTAGACCCAAAAATGTCAGTGGGTGTGGTTACTATGTTTGGGATTTTGGCCTGCTGAGCCCGAAAACTGTTGTTTCTATAGTAAGACATTTTCATGAGAGTAAGAAGTTCAGGAGGGAATGGGAACCGTTTCTCTGACTTTGTTTATTCTTTGAAGTCCGCAGAAAACCTTCTTCCAGTTGATAAGAACTAATCTCATCTACTTTCTAGGCGAGGCACCGTTAATATTACTCGAGTTAATCTACGCAGTGAAAAGTCAGAGCAAGGCTCCGCTCGGAATACAGAAAGTGATCTGAATCCCCCCCCCCCCCCTTTTGCATGTCATATACTTGAACAAATTAGGACAATTTCTTAGTAAATTTGATGCAAACCGATATTTACCATAAAGGTTTGGCACATACAATCATTGGGGTCATGGTGTCTGAGTGGTGATATTGTAACTGAATATAAATCCTTGATGATATGCACATACTGAATAGTGAGCCTATACTGAGTTAATGTCTTTCCTTGACCCAGGAAGGCTCTGAAATTTACTGTGGAGGGAGTGACCCGTGTCTACCTTTACCCCGAGACGGACGAGCCTGTTTCCATCCTCAACATTAAAAGAGGAATCCTTTCAGCTCTCATTGTGCCCGTCATGGAGGATGAACAGAATATCTCCATGGTTGGTATCTTCTCACAACCTAGATTACCTTATTTTAAAATTGAATACAAAAGGCACAAGGATGTTGCATCAGATGTAAATTGCATTATCCCTTTAGCGTAAACTTGGTCTGTCAGCTAGTGAGAAAATAGTACAGAACATTAAGGCTAATGAGTGGTGAAAAGAGAAGTAAATGGATTAAAGAAGTTAAACAGCAGTTTGGTATGTAAAAATTGGCCTTACGTGTTGTCGCCAGTATTTGAGATAACATCTACATTTACTCTTTTGTCAGAGCACAGTGCACGGACAGTGTTCTACAAACTACCTGGTGCATGACAGAAAGGACGCAGCCACACAAGTAAAACTTTCCAGAGATCTCTCCCAATGCGATCAGTTCTACAGCAAGGAACTTGTCAACAGTCCCCTTGCCTTGCTGCAAAGAATGGTGAGATGTTACTACATGGTTCCTATTGTTCATGGCATTGTGAGGGTGACCATTTATCAAGCCTTGTTATGACAAAATGGGTTCTACAAAGACCTGACTTTGTTCAGCCAATTAAGTATCATGTCTCTGAAGTCTTCTAAAACAACAGTCTCTTTGCATCTCCTGGAGATCAAAGGTCATGAGACTTCAATAGAAGACGATAAAATATGAATGAGTTTAAACCATTTTTTGCATCTTTTGTGAAATAAAAAATAACTGATTCCATCCCTGTACACTTCCTTATCATTATACAATTTAGACTGTGTAAAAATTCTAACCGTAGTTGGTATAAAAAAATGTGAAAACGCAAATATCAAGTCTTCTCTCGGAAAATGTCCTTGAGGCTTGGAAGTGTATATGAACATTAACAAACAAACATTTTTTTCCAGCATCGTCCATTGTCTAAACTGATTACAAGCACTCAAGACTGCAACTACCAGTTTGATAACCAGGGGAAGCACATCGTGGTCGCCATGTGCACAGAAAATCACTTCTATGAGCCATCTTACTCTGTGTAAGTCATCACCGGTGTGTATATATGTGTGTATTTAGTGCATTGCTTTGCTTTTGCGTCACCTTCTGATCTGCCTTGCTGGGACAGTGGAATATCATCTAAAGTGACCCAGAATCTCAGCTTTCAGAGCTCCAAAAGGATAAACAACAAAGTATTTGGTCAGTGTCTGCAATGGAGAATTTTAGTTTTTCTCTTTATCTCTTTTTTGGAAACGCAAAAATAATTTACAATGTGTGTGTCCACAGACATAAATCCCAGCCACAGCAAGCCACTCCACTTTCAACACAATGACAATAAAGCTCCAGTTCAGACGAAAGACACTGCTCTGAGCACTCTCACTGACCTCATGGCTTTGGCCGGCACCGACCAGGGTCAGAGGAGGACCAGCCTTTTCCATAAGCTGGTGTCCAGCCTGCGCGTCCTGAGAAACGAGACCCTAAGCCAAACGGTCACGGAGATGTTGGATGTGTCAGGCTTGCTCACCTGGCAGGCCCTGTTCCAGTGTGGATCCACAGAGTGCACCAGTGCCATTTTCCAGGCTGTCAGGACCATTGATGGTCTGTCACCAGAGGTGGACGCTCTAATCTATGGGCTGAGTCTAGAGGCTAATCCCGATGCCACACGTGTCAGAGATATGCTCAGCATGGCTCAGTATAAGCAAAGCAGGGCCATCATGTATGCACTAGCAAACACGGTCAAAAAGTAAGTCAAATATTGTTTCTGGCATTTCTAAAACTTATGATCCATTTTTCAATATTAGTACACTTATATTTGTATGTTAATACTGTGGAAAACCTATTCAATTTGACCACAAGAGGAAAATATTCTCTAACTAAACTTTTTAACACCACTTTCATCCAAACCATGGCATCTTATTTGCATATATATATATATATATATATATACCTTTTATCTGATCCACAGGTTCCATAAAGCAAAGGTTACTCCAGTGGTCACTGATGTGTCAAAGTTCATAGAATCCCTCCTAAACGACTGCCTGGAAGAATCACTAAATGAAGATTCTGAGATTCCTTCTGATCCCAAAGAGATTACCTTCCTCGTACTCAGGGTACTAATCATTGAAGATTTTAACCGACTGTATTTCTGAACTGAATCAGCTCTTGACAGGGATTCTGGTTAGAAGCTGCCCTCCAATTAATCCATTCTCATTTCCAGGTTGTTGGTGTCATGGGTAAAGCCATGCAAGCTGTGAGCCCCAGCCTGATTTCTTCCATTTTGCGCTGCGCTAAGAGAACTGACATTCCATCACCAAACCAAAAGGCAGCTGTACAGGCCTTTCGGTTGATGGACATTAATAATGAGGTAAAACTAGGTCACACTAGAGCATTTATTCTAGGCTGATGATGACCACAGCCTATAGTGCTGCTTTGTGAAGTATGTGTCAGCCCTGTCAGGCAGGGATTTAAAATCCAATAAATAAAATGAATACAATTTTTTTATAAATAGGAAATAAAAGATGCCAACAATGCCTGTTGTTTGGAGAGTCTAAGTCTCCATAAAGACAGGTTCTTTTGTACTGGGGGGACATAAGCATGGATCACCAAGACATACATTTGAGATTAAAATGTGCTTTTATTATAAATAAAAATAACTGCAATTATATTATTGTTAAAAGTCCAACTAAAATGGATCTACTAAAGAATGAAGAGTTTGACACCACGTAAAAAGCCTGGCTATCGGGAGGGTTCGTCAGGGTCCAGCTGATTCCTCTGGCTTACCCACTCGTCTGACCTGGGCTCGCCCAATCTTTATGGACACCACCGCCTGTCGTTGCCAGGTCCTCCTCTCGTCTGTGGTCCTACTCCTTCCTGTGCTTCCTACTCCTTCTGTGCTTCCTACTCCTTCTGTGCTTCCTACTCCTTCTGTGCTTCCTACTCCTTCTGTGCTTCCTAGCCCTGTCCTGCCCTGCTTGTGTGTGCCCTGCTCCTTCCTCTGTCGTATTTTCTCCTTCTGCTGCTTCTTCTTTAGGTTTAAATGGCGGATCGCAAACAAATTGTCTAGGTGCATACCGCCACCTACTGTACCGTAGTGTGCAGATTCAGGGTATAATGGTCAAACTAACTACCACTGCCTACTAGATCCTACGGCCTAGTCCCGTTTCTTTGACAAATTGTTTTTTTACAAATTATATTGCCTTTGCCATTTGCCGTACTCATGCTCGCTGCCACAAGCATATGTTTTCTTTCCATATCGATTTGTTTCTTTTCTGGAAGCCTTCCCAAGCTTTGCTTCTCTCACTTCCTGTATTATCTCATCTACGGACACAGACAGTGGCACATTCTGTACATCAGCTCTCAGCTTTGAAAGCACTTCCTGGAATATCGCTGCTGATCCTTTCTCCATTCAAAATATCAGCTCGAAGTTATGAATTACATCACATCACATGTCATTTAGCTGACTTATAATAAGTGCATTTCAACCATAGGATACAAACTCAGAAGAACAAGAAACAAGTGCAATTTCATCAAATAAGCCGATTTACAACTTGCTGTAGATAAGAACCATTATAAGTCCAATGTAAGTGCTCCAGTTAGTGTGTTAGTGGAGGTAGAGTCTGAAGAGGTGTGTCTTTAGTCTGAAGATGTGAAGGCTCTCTGTGGTCCTGATGTCTTCAGAGACCTCCTTCCACCATTTAGGAGCAGGACAGCAAAGAGTGGAGATCTAGTCGAGTGTTTTGCTCTCAGTGAGGAGGAACAAGCAGTTTATCACATGCAGAGCGGAGAGTGCAAATAAAACCAACCATGCTAAACAGACTCACAGCAACAACCCAATCTATGCAGCAATATGGTCTAATATCTTCCTGATGACATATTGATGTTGTATTTTAACATTTGATCAAAAACAGGTCAAAAACATCTTAATGGAGGTGTTGAAGGATTCACAGAACCCTGTTGAGAAACGTGTAGCAGCCTACTTGATTCTGATGAAGAACCCAGACCAAGCCCTGGTTAGAGACATTCTGAACAATATGCAGAACGTGATGAACGAGCAGCTTAAGAGCTTTGTGCTCTCCCATCTGAAAAACATCCGCAACTCTGACCAGCCTCAAATGTATCAGTAAGTATTTATTTACAGCTTCATAGCAAATGCAAATGTCTACTGATGTGGTAATGATAGAAATCCTATTAGAAACCTTGAACATAATAACTAACCACAGACAAAGCTTACAAAAAGCCAAGCTCTTTTTTCTCAGGAAATTGTGTCGATCAAAAGGGAGCTAAAAGTGAATTGACATCCATGAATTGACTCACGCAAACAAGTTAATGTTTCTATCTTTTTTCTAGGTATAGGTCATTTTTTGCTAAGTGGTTAGCAAAAGCAATTCTGAAAAAATGTTAGCATATTTTGTTTTTGAAACAGGAAACCTTTTGTTACAGGTCCTGGATCTGACCCTTGACTACTCAAAAAACATTGTCTTGGCAGTGACATTTTACTAAAACCATCTTCTTTCCTCCTAAAGACTTAAGGAGTACATTGAATTGGCCTTAGGAGACCAGCTATTGCCTACAATTAAGGTACTTAATGGCATGTCAATGAACCGCAAAATGGACTCTCCTTTGGGCTCAGTGCAGAGTAACATCATCTTCAATGGCACCGACACCCTGCCTAAGGAGGTGATGCTGGAGACAACTCTAAACGCTTTTAACTACAACTATGACATCTTTGAGGTATGTTTTTCAACAGTAAACATGTTGCATGTGGTAAAAAACCCACAAACTAGATCTGTAGAGATTTCACCATTATAAATCTCCCACATTCAAGGTCTGCATTGAAGGAACAGGATTTGAACCAACAATTGATGCTCTTTTCGGAGAAGAAGGTTTCTTCCCTGACACCATCTCCAAAGTCATGTACTGGGCAGGTGACAAAGCCAAGATGCTCAAGGAGGTTTTGGGTAGGGTTGCTCCAGAAAGATCCAGAATGAAGAGACAGGTGAGAGGATTTTGGACACATCACCCATATTTTGCTCGTTCACACCAAAAGTTTTCGCAAAGTCTTACGTTCACCAGCCCGACTAGTTGCAGTTCATTTCCTTTCATTTGCATGCCGCTTCATTCGTATTCGTAAAAATAACCCATATTTCTGCTCTGTACTTTACACAAACATTGGAACTGCAAACGGCGTCGTGTTTGGTTCATGACATCGTCTGTCACCGCACACAACACAATGACTTTCAACTACTTCTCCAGGAACTGCGTGTTTCGTTCAATCTCAGCTGCGGAGCGCCTGTCTATCTGCCTCTTGTGAGTGGCAGTTTCATACAAGGAGCAGGATGACGAGCAGAGTATCTCAACGCTGATTGGCTTTCACAAGACACGGCCTGAAAAAGTTGAAATATTTCAACTTTGACAAAAGACGTTTTATTCGCTTCGCTCCATTCACTCCTTTGTGTCTTCCGCGTCTGGTCAATAGTGTTTTTCGCGCCACTTTTTTTGCTTCATCCACAACCAGACGCGTCTGTGCATTGACTTGACATGGAATCTACTCGCTCAAATAATTTGCTTCGCTTTTGGTATGAACGCAACACAACAATGTTTACTATGCCTAACTATATTTTACTCGGTTTGGAAACTTCATTGAGCACTGCGCGACCAGAAATTGACATCCATTTTGTAATATCCCTCCAGGTCCCACACGATCTCCTGAAAGATATCTCTAAAGGTGTCAAAAAGCTCATGTATGACGTGCATCTCCCTCCAGCCCCTGAAGCAATTGGCTATCTTCGGCTTCTGGGTGCTGAAATAGGATACATGAAGACCAGTGACATGACAAAGATGGCTGAATCTCTGTTCATGTACTACAATGTTTTCTTCAAGGTGCTACCTGCCAAGGTCAGATATGCTGTTCCTGTATGTTTCCTGAATTTTGCCAAAAGAATAACTGAAGAACCTACCATTTGGATTACTGGTGTGTGAGTGCATTGCCTATCTTTCTCAGGAATGCAAATTTTTCAGAAAGCCGTGCAATTTGAGGAAAAACTCCGAATTTTCTATTATTTCTCAATAAATCCTCATACATCTGCATTTGCAGAGTACTCAGAAGCTGCAGTTCATATGTAGCTTGTTTGTTTACTTTCCAACAGGCCATTTTTGCATTGATATCTAGCAGTGAAAATGAAGTATTTGCCCATTACATCTTCATGGAGACTGCATTCTCTTTACCTACTGCTGCTGGCTTTCCTCTGAAGTTCTCTTTGGCTGGTGTGTTTGCACCTGGGGCCAAAGGAGGCCTGAGTCACTCACCTGCTAACTTCATGGTAATTTAGCGTATCTTCTTTGTAGACTATATGTTCAATACCATATACATTGTGCAAGTCACCGCTGAGATTTGCTGTTTACATGTATTCTGTTGTATCCTTCACTTTGTAGAGTGACTTCTCCTTCATGCCTTCTGTTGGACTAGAATTCATCACACAAATGTGGGTGCACATTTCAGACTATGTGGAGGCGGGGCTTGAGATGCACACTAATATGTACCATGAGAGTTCACTTAATGCTAAGGTCACCATAAGCAGAAACCAGATGAAACTGTTGATACCTGCACCCATTTCAAACACTCAGTTGTTCAGCATTAGGTAAGTGGCACATGTGCCAAATGACAAAGCACTCTCAGTGGTTTCTAGTGCCGTTGCTGTTGTCTCTGATCACTTCTCTCTCTTTTTGAAATACAGTAACAAGTTGCTGTCAGTATCCTCCAGTCAAACATCAATAGTGCCTCCCTTGTCTGAGGAGAGAACTGACTCAACTAACTGCCAGCCCCTTTTCAGAGGTCTGAGATTTTGCTCAATTGTGAGTTCTGCAATGCTACTTCAATAGATGAGGCCCCATTTTACCTCCTGACTGAGAACAAAAAGTAAGAGTAAACCACATTGACAAAGTTCATTTGAACCCATTTGCTTTTAGTTAGGTTATGTGTTAATACTATTGTATAATAGTTCATATACATTATTATAATTGAATGCAGTATTTTATGATTTTAACAAACCAGATAGTCAACAGGCATTACCAGAGAGTTTCATCAAAGCAACATTTTCTCAGATTTGCATTAGAAATCCAGCCAACAGAGAAAGTTTCAGAGTATACCGCCACTCTCACCCATGGAATGCTCAGAGAGGGTAAAAAAGGTCGTCATAAAATGGAGTCACTGAAGCTAACCATGAGGGCAGAAGGTATTGTTATGTTGGTGTGCGTGCTTCTGTGTGTATTCTGCACATCACGATTCATGTTCAGTTGCAAGGAGAAATGACAAATCAGAAAGCAGCCTGTCTTACTTTCATATAACAGAGCTGGTTTTCTAACCCTGACCATATCTTACCAGTTTAATTGCCATTACCACAGTCCACCTAACCTTAATCATACCATAGGGCATGTACTTTGACTATAATTGTCTAGAATGAATGAATGTGATCAGTTTGGCCCTGTATTTATCAATTCATTATTCTTATGTAACCATCAATTAAAAATCATTAATATGGGCAATGTTATTAATATTTTGTGGAGCCCCCATTTGTTACTGTTCGTAGGGATGTAAATTGATTAAGTTTAAAATCTGCTGTTTCTAGGGTATGATTCATCAGAAGTCACTGCATCTCTGACATACAACCGCAACAGGAACACTGTCACTACTGAGATTAGCATTCCTGACTATGATGTGGAAGCAGGCGTCAAGCTGACTGTAACTGACAGCAATGCAGAGGGGCCGAGAACGAGAGGAATCACCGTTGATGTCACAAGCAAGAACATCCCTCAGCTGACTCTTGTTGGACACACAAGGTACATTGCTCTATAAATAATGATTTGATCCTTCCTAATATATAATGTGGACATTTTGAGTGGATGAGAATCGTCTCAGGAAATACAAAAATGAAGAATTTGAAGTCTTATCCACCTACATGGTCTCCTGTACAACTATAAATGTAGGCTTGACATAATGAAGGGCGCCATGCTGCAACTCCAGTTGCTAATACCGTTTTTGAAAACTGAAGCCTCTGTCACTGCGACCCTGAAGAGGGATGAGGATATAGTCGTGGACTTGGAGACGGTCATGAACCTTCCTGTGACATCCTACCAACAGAAAGCTTCCTTCAAATATGGTAATTGGTAACTCACAGCTTTAGCACATGAGAGATGTGGAGCATTTATTAATTTGTATGTTTTTGCGTGCATATGGATTTTCCCACTACAGATGTTGACAAGATTGAAGTGGAGCTGAAGTCAAATCTGAATTCAGAGATTCAGAAACTGATCATAAATATCAACGATTATCACGGGCTGCAACAGATCATTGATCATATCCTTGAGAAGAAAGTGGCAAAAACTGATATGAAACTGCGTCATATAGTCATGAAAGGAATTGAGGTAGCACTCTGAAATTTCATTTTAAGTCATTTTCAATTGGACATTCAGTTATGGCCTTTTTTTAATGAAACCTTGCCCATGGGTATATTACACTCTTACTATTTGTTGATGTGGATAGTGGAAGAATGATATCAAACGTCAACACTTGTGAAACCAGGGATATCATATTTCTATTTGTTTTTATTTGTTTTGTTTATTTATTTATTTATTTTTCTTGAGTACTCCACACCATAAAGATATGGATGTGATTAAAATGTATTTTACCATGTCACCCTGAAGGCAGGTGATATATGGCTAGAAAAATTGACAGCACGCATCCCCCATCTTGCGAACTGGACGAATAAGAGGATCATGTCCGATATCACCCTGGCAGCCATGCCTGAGAAGCTTTTTCTGCAGTCGTAAGTAACTATACAGTGTAAGATTATTACTTGCATTCGGGTATTTCTTGGCATGAACCCTGACTAGACGGTTCAGTTGTACTAGTTAGTCTTTTGTAGAAAAAATTGGAACAATAATGACTGCATTTTATTTTACCTCAACAGAAACAGCTTGTTCAGATACCAGTTCAACAAGGATAGGATGGTTATCTCACTTCCCCTTCCACACGGAGGAACAAAGTCGCAGGATCTGAACATCCCAACAACTCTGTCCACTCCTCTCATATATTTACCAGATATAGGCCTTTACATCCCTGCCAAAAACTATTCACTACCGTCATTCACCATCCCACCTTCTTTGGATTTTACTGTTCCCTTTCTCGGTCTTGCTGAAGCATCCACCAAGATCAACAGCAATGTCTACAGCTGGGAAGGCTCCATCTCTGGGGGGAACAACACTGTTGATGTCCCGAGTTACATTACACAGTACAAGGCTATGGCCCAATCACCGTTCAACCTACTGGCATACAAGCTTGAAGGTAAACACCCTCTTCGAATGGTCATTTCTGACAGTTAATGAAAGATGTTGCAAGCTTTTGTTAGATTAAAGTAAGAAAGTGGCATGAAGGCATTTAGTTACTGATGGTTATAATACTTGTTTAAATGTTGTTGGGAAACTTAGCTTATTTCTGATAAGATCTCATCTTGGAATACAATCTTATTGGTTCTTTTAAGTGAAAGCATGTTCATATTCATGGGAACTTTCTTACAAGGAAAACTATACTGATCTTTTTTGTTTGTCTTTTTTTTAAGGAACCGGTATGATATCAAGAAGTGCTGATGGTAATATCAAGTATCTTCTGAATAGTTTCTTCAACCATAGATTGATTGACACGAACTTCAGTGTAATAGAAACAATAGGAGTAACCAACAGATTGAATGCAAAAGCAAACTATCATATAAAAGCCTCTAGTCCATTGGGCCTGCAAGCCTCCCTCTACTACTCTGCTCAGTCAGCATCATCTCTAGATTTAGATAAAGTCTCAGGAGATGGCACCATGGATGGATCACTTAAAATAGGTTCATTCTATGCTGATACCAGCTACGCCCACAGCTACAACCTTCGTCCAATAGTTGGAAAAGGGAGAGGAGAGTCAACCCTGCATCTAAACTCAACCTTCTTTGATGTTCACAATATGATCAATGGAGTTTATGCAAACTCGGAGTTGAATATGCTGTCCAAAATAATTGCCCAGGAGGAGTCTTTTAAGCATGTGGCAGAGCTCAAGTATAAAGATGCTCAACTGACCATGAAGTGCAACACCCTTGCCACTGGACTGGGTCAGTCACTCAATAACAAAGTTGAGCTAGGTATGTCCAGCCATATGGCCAGCCTCAGAATTGAGTTACAGGCAGATGATGACACAAACAGGGCCTACTCCCTTGTAGAAGGCTCCTTGGATTCAAATGGGCTTGAGCTAAACTCTGAAGGTTCCATTACCTTTCAGACAGTTTGTGGATTACACAAAGCTTCTGTTATGGTTGGAAGGCACAGTCTGACCGCAAGTGGAACTAATAGCATTCAGTGCAGTCCTGTCATGGTGGAGAATATGTTCAGTGGTGCCATAGACAACAATAGAGCATCCTTACACTCCAAGACAAAAGTGATGGCAAAGGAAAGCAAAGGAGAGCTGAACATTGACGGTACAATCTCAGCTACGGAAGCCTCTTTGAATGGTGTCCTCAATGGCCATGTATACGATGCAACCACAAGAAACAACATGGATATTGTACTCAACCGCAGAGCCCTGACCTTTGCTATCAATAACATGGGAAAATTGAAGCAGATTAATACAGAAAATATCCATACACTGACCCTCACTCTGTGGACGCTAACCTTCCACTCCAAGACGAACAACTTCATCTGTGAAGATATTTACTACAAACAAAACAGCAAGGTTCATATGAAGCCATTTCTTACAGCAGTGGATATGACAAATGACCTTAAGTTTTATGATTTTAATTGGAACAATGAAGGCCACATGCAGCTTGAGCCAATTACGGTTGATCTCAGTGGAACTACAAAGGTAGCTTACGGAGAACACCACAACATTAAACATACCTATGAACTCAACTATGACAACATGGCTGGTACAATGAAATACAGCGTGACTGGAAATGTAATTGACGCTCAGCTAAGTCACAACTGTGAACTTGAGTTTGCTGGACTTTCCTCAAAGTCAAAGTGTGCGGCACTAATAAATTCTGAGCCCTTTCGTTTTGAAAGCACTATTCGCACCATGGCACTGCCTTTCAGTCTCACTGTTGATTCTCTTGTCAACGGTGATGGACAAATTAATCTATATGGGAAGCACACCGGACAGCTGTATAGTAATCTGTCGGTTAAGACAGAACCCCTAACTCTTGCATTCGCACATGACAGCCAGGTATCAACCACACATGTGTTTCCAAATGGGAAGTCTTCCAGTAATTTAGAAAACAAATTTGATGGCCTCCTGACACCAAGTGACCAATCTCTCACCTGGAAAATAAAATCTAAGCTGAACAACCATGCCTATAACCAGGATGTTAGTGCTTTCCATAATCCTTTCAAGGTTGCATTTGAGTTTTCAGGAGTAATATTAACAGACAGTTTTGGCAATTTAAGCAGCAAAAAGAGATTAGAAGTAGAAGAATTTAGTATAGCTGGTTTCCTCAAGTATGACAAGAACAGTGACTGTCATATCATTGAGATCCCATTCATTGAGAGTTTCCCTGTAGCTTTTGAACACCTCAAGAACACACTTGCAAAAGCATTGATATCGATTCAACAGTTCATCAAAAATGTAAATATTAATCAGCTAATCATTGACTTTAGGGGCAAGTTAGATCGTATACCTGTGCAAGTCAGCAACTTCATGCTCGAAATGGACTTGGAGAACAAAGTGAATCAAGTAAATGCAAAAATTGATTATTTAATCAATGACTTTTCTGTAACAATGGATGACTTTGAATTTGTGATGAAACACTTAAGAGAGAGCATGGAGAATATAGTAATGGACATTGTCTCCACAATTAGTGACATCATCCTCACAATCAAACACTATGTCAAGGCCCGCCACTTTGCCGAAAAGATAACAAATGTGCTTTTAAAAATGGCAAATCAGCTTTCGGCCTTTGATGAGAAGTATGAAGTTAAGCGGTCTCTCATCAAAGCGCTAGATACCATCAAGGACATCATCAGACAGATAGATTTGCAGAAGCTCACCGACAGTAGCGCCGCCTGGCTGCGTCATTTTGATTTTAAATATAGAATCTTGGAGAAAACAAAAGACAAACTGTCCGAAATGAAAGAGGCTATTGAGAACTTTGACATCAATGCCTTTTTCCAGGAGATAAAGGATCAACTTCTCTCAATTGATTTAGCTTTTTATGTGGAGCAGATATCCTATACAATTTCTTCTGCAGACATAGCAAAAGTGACGGAATCTATAAATGATGTTATTGTTAACTGGATTGACGAATATGAAATCCCCAACAAAATCAATACGATGTATTCTTATACTAAGGATAAAGTTTTAAAATACAATCTTAATGATACAGTTAAAGAACTGATGAATCAATTATTGATTCTCATCAAGGAATTCAAAATTGAAGAGACACTGAAGGCAATGGTTGATAGTCTGAAATCTATCAACTTTGAGTTAGTTGATAATCAAATGAGGCAGCTTCTGCACATAGATGTTATAAGCCAGTTCAGAACAATTGAGTTTGGGGAAAATCATTAATGACCTTAATACAAACATTTCTTCAATAGTTGGCTCATTGAAGGAATTTGACTACAGTGCATTTGTTCATGAGACCAACAAGAAAATTGCTGAATCAACAAACTATATCAACGAGCAGATTAGACTATATGAGCTTGCACAGAAAGTTGAGGCTGTAAGGGAATTTCTCAGAGAGATCCAAAATTCCATCTTCACATATTTGAATGAACTCAAAAACTCAAAGGTTGCTGAATCTCTAAAAAAATTGAAAAATGTAATTGACATTACATTTTACAATGACATCAAGCTGAAGGTGCAGGATATCTTGGAGGACATTCAAAAACGGATCATTGACATGGATATCAGAAAAGAAATGTACATTTACCTTCAAAGAGCAAGCGAATCCTACAGCAATGTGGTTAACTACGTTTCTGTACAGTTTAACCAACTAATTGAGAGGATTAGAGAAGTGACCAATGCCAATGACATCATCACACAGGTAAAGCAAACTGCAGATAGAATTCTGGGTGCACTAAAAAAAGCTGAGATTGTAGTTCCAACTTTCACTGTACCTCTCACTGACCTCACCATTTCATCATTTACAGTAAACCTGAACAAAATGCAGGAGATTAGCATCCCAGCTCAGATTTTTGTCCCTGAGTTCACTATCCTTAACTCATACATAATTCCTGCCTTTACCATAGACTTTGAGGAGATCAAAGCACATATAATTGCACTCATAGATGGCATCAGAAAATATGAGATCCAAATGCCTGACCCTGAGGAGATTTTGGGGGACCTAAAAGTGCTTTATCTTCCTGAATTGCAAGATCTTACTGTCCCAGAAATAACCCTTTCAGAAATACATTTCCCTGTTATCAAAATCCCCCAATTAAATCTGAAGGACTTTGAAATTACAATGCTTCCAATTCCAGAGATCAAATTACCTGAGATTCCGAGTGACCTTTGCATGCCGTTTTTTGGCAAGCTCCATGGTGAATTTCGATTGAGCTCCCCACAGTTCACGATGGAAACTATAGGGAAGATTGAGAACTCAACGTCCACACCAAAAAAAACTCAGTTTACAGCAGCTATTACTTCTCATTCCAAATCACCCATTGAACCCTTTAAATACACCTTTGAAGCCAATGCTAGGTTGGAAGCTCCAATAATGAACAAGTTTCTATTAACAGAAATTGTGAAAGTTACACATGTTGCCTTCTCAATTGATCATGGCGGATCCTTAACACTCACTGGTTCTTCTGCTGAGGCTTCTGCTAAGACCATTAGCAAGGCCACAACCCAAATGTACACAGCCGATTTTGTCAACAGTATAGCACTTACATTGAAGAAAGGAATCTCTGCAACCATAGACACAAATTACAACCACAACTTGGACGTCCCATCAATTGAAACTTTCAGTGAAGCATCAATGAAACAGAATATAGCAGCTACCATGGAATCGGGCAAAGTACTTTGACCAGTGAAACTACTGGTAATGGAAAGTGGTCCTTTCAAGACTACTCTGACGAAGGTACACACACCAGCAATGTAGAATACAGCATACAGTTTGGCACTGCCAAATTAACTATGGCAGGAGAAACAACCTGTAACGCCATGAAATCAAAGCAAACACTGACTGCTGAATCGGTGATTTTAAGTCATATTATTGTTAAAGCTAGATGTGAAAATGAATTTCCATCTGTCAAGAAGATTGTTATGGTTTTAAATGGAGAGATTGATATTGGGGACTTAAACATTGAGGTGACAGCTTTTCATGATTCTGAATTGGCTGGAGGTTTGACTGGAGTTATGTCCAACTCGCTGGAATTTATTGCTCATCCATTTGAAATTGTGCTCAATGTTAAGAATAGAGTAAACTCAAAAATGTTGTTCCCATTGAAACTTACTGGTAAAGTTGATCTGCAGCATGATTATGGTGTCATAGTAAACTCTGAGAAGCAGCGTGCTTGCTCGTTTACTTTGGCCAGATTCAACCAGTACAAGTACAAACAAAACTTCACAGCAGAAAACAATGAAATCAGCATCTTCTTTCAATCATTTGCAAATGGAGAGGCAAAGCTGGACTTTTTGTCTGTTCCTTTATCCATCCCAGCAATAAGTGTACCTTATTTTGGGATTAAAACCCCTGGGGTCAGAGACGTGTCACTGTGGGAAGATGCTGGATTTGAAACCTTGCTAACGGATCCTCAACAGTCATTCGATTTCAATCTGAAGCTTCATTACTTCAAGAACCTTGATACCCACAGCTTTGGAGTACACCTTGAACCAATTTACATTACATTTAATAATAACGCCTACATCTTCCAGGCTTAATTTAACAAACATAGAGACAAAGTAGTTACGCTTCTAAAAGATTCTTATAACCAAGCAACCATCTGTGCTACCATCTTTGGAATTTCCTGTCCAGTCCATGTTCCAGAAACATTAAAGGAAATAAAGCTTCCCACTTCTCACACTACTAATCATTCAGAACAACATGTTGATCCCAGCCCTTGGTAACATAACGTGTGACCTCCACTTCAAATCTACTGTTATTACCTTAGGTGCTAATGCTGGCCTTTATAATCAGTCCAACATTGTCGCTCGGTATTCCACGTTTTTAACATCTGTGTTTAAAATTCTAAATGGAAAGATGAATGGCACAATCAGTCTGTAAAGAAAGAGAGGACTAAAACTGGCCTCCGCTGTGTCCCGAAAGCAGAAAATGTGGAAGCGAACCGTGAGTGTGCTCCTAGTCTGATCAAAAGGAGCATGGAAGCATCTGTAACCAACATTGCAAAAATTACTCGCCAGTTTTTATCTTAATAGCCTATATTCAACTTTCAGGACTCTGATTCAAACATTGAACAACAGGAGAAACTTAATCAATCACATGTTTCAGTACGACATACCAACAACATGTCCTCTTGAGTAGAACTTTGGCAACCATTGATTACAGAAGAATCGGAATATTTCAACACCAATGGAAAGTGCAGTGTCAAATTTAGAAAAGAAAAATGTACTTTAGAAAATGTTGTTTCTTTAACAAACGTCAAGGCTACACTGAACATAGAGGCAAGTTAGCCAAATAGACCAAATAGTCATGCTGGACTTATTCATCAGCTCAGACAAGCAGTGTATGACTTGGAGTGGGAAGGAACACTCATCCATACTTCTCATTTTCTTGTGTCTAATGATGAATCTAAAGTACCTAACAGGATCTGTGGAAGGCCTTCTGGCTTTCATGAATGTGGTTAGCATTCCTGTATATTAGAAGACCTTCTGGGAATTCTCAAGTTAGGTCACAAATATGGACGAGTTACAATTCCTTACCCTCTCTTCCAGTATTGTGTAGACCATGACCATGCATGACAAGGAGTTTACATACCAATGAAAACGAAATTACATGAAACATCCCCAAGATTAGCTTTGCAGTATCATCGTGGATAGAAGAAAATGCAATCCATAAAATGACTCTTCCCCATGCAATCTTGGTTCCAGCCTTTGATGTTCCATATACCAACTTGCATGTAGACGACTTAAGAATTGATCCCATGAACTTTAACGTCCGCAATGCGATCACCACTACAGCCTTTGAAATCAAGGTACCAGGCTTGCCAATAATGTCAGCGCCCAGCTACAATATTAAAACAGAGTATTGTTAGGGTTTGAACCAGAAAACCTTGCCTAGTGGTATGAATAATGGTATGTTGAAGTTATGTGTAAAATTCAATCATTTCTGTAATATTAATTAAGCATACGTCATCCAACTCTGTACACATGACATCCATTCTATCCACCCTTTTTTCCTATTGACCTTTTTCGGAGGTTTTCCTGTGTCGTGTGAAAATTTTGGGTCAGCAGATGTCGCATGTGTAAAGATTGCAGGGTCTGTGTTTAGGTTTGTTATTCTGGGCTATGAAATGAGTTGGATATCATGTTTATGAAGACATAATTGGGATAGTAGAAGTATCAAGTGTGACATTAGTAATATGTTATGACATAATATGATAGGTATGTGCTAAGTACTAGATGATAAATGGGATATATTAAATCCCATATTATGTCTACTCCAAGAAGCTTGAGGTAAAGGTATAATCATTGAATGTGTTGTGTTATTGAAGATGAGTTCGGTCAATGAGAGCTTCCAGATTGACGCTGATGATGGTGCTCGCGGGGGAACAGAGGCGAGCGGTAACCAACAGGCTGGGTGAGGCTTTTGGAATGGAAAGTGGACAAGGGGATGGCCGAGCTGGTTGGAGCTACTGTCGACATCACAGCCAGCACATTGCTGAGGGATGTAAAGCCGACACCACTTCCAGACACAAAAAGGCACCGTTTTGAAAATCCTTCCAGAAATGTTGACTTGTTTGTCAGGAGGAGGGGTCTCTACCACTACAAATAGCCTCATTCGTTTTGTAATGTCTTACCTGCTTCTGTTAATTATTAAATTGTTCTTGATTTTAATTTAAGATTTGATTTGTTGATTCTTTTGACAAGTTGGAGTATACTTTTTGCTTCTTTAAACATTTAGTAGTTTAGACTTAATGAAAACCTGGATAAAGCAGAACAGAAACATGATACTTTTTGTACAGCTTAGTCACAGCCATAGTCACTGCTTGCCCACACGCAGTCCTGCAATGCCAGGGAGTGAAACGTCAATCCTCTGATTGAAGGACATCTGTGGCCTCAGTCCCCCCTTAGCAAAACCACTTCATTCAGTTGTGATAATGGCACATTATTCCTTAGCACTACCACTGCACGAGGTGCAGGGTCAACCCCGGTTTGCATGAAGCCCTGCAAAAACAAATTGCCATCTTAACTCGGACATTGACGAAGAAGACACGTGTAAATGAGTGTATTAAGCTGCATTTGCATTTTATCTCGAAATGAGACAATTAAAATAATCAATAATAGTATTTTTTATATAGCACTTTTCTAAATACTCAAAGACTAGACTAGACTGCCAGAGCGTATGCACATTACAAACGACACGCAGCGGCGTTCCCGACGCTCTGTTCGTCGACAATGTACAAAAATGTACAGTGTGCGTGTAAGGATGTCACAACCGAGGGAATCCTGGAATTAGGAGGCAGGCAAGCGAGACTTGGTCCAGGAAAAAAATGTTTTCTTTATTTGTAAAAAATAAGGAAGCTTCCTTATACAAGTCTGATTAAAACAGATTAACAATGGAATATTGGCAAGAAACTTGTATAAACTTGCTGTGACTTTTCAATGTACCCCAGCTTCATCTGTGCCCTGTGAAAGGGTTCTCTAAAGCAGGTGAAATACTCTAAAAGAAAAAGAAAAACGCGGCCAGTGTGTGTAAGGGGCAGAGTCGGTGTGCACCCCACAGGGCAGCGTGATTAGCCCTGTGTTGTTTACAATGATAGACGATGTGTTGAGGGATGTAGGGAGAGGTATGGGTATGGCACTATATGCAGATGATGGGGCTTTGTGGAAGAGAGGTAAGAATGAGAAGTTTGTAATGAGGAAGATGGCGGTGGATGTGGTGGAGGAATGGTCCAAGAGATGGTTTTAGGATGTCTGTGACTAAATCGTGTTTCATGGTGTACTCGAGGAGGAGGGTGGGGGAGGTTCGGTTACATATGTATGGACAGGAATTGGGAAGGGTGTCAGAGTTTAAATATTTGGGGTTATGGTTTGATGAGAGGCTTACATGGAGGAAACATCATGTAATCACGAGCACTGAGGCTGTGTGTGGGGGCTATCAGGACCACCCCGGTAGTGGTGTTGCAGGTGGATACAGGGGAATTGCCACTGAGCTTGAGGAGGGACAAGTTGGCGCTGTCGTATTGGGGCAGGCTGAAGGGGTGTGCTGAAAGCCACACGGCGGTTGTGGCAACTAGGGAGTGTTGGGAGAGGGACGAGAGTAGTTTGAGGATGTATGGGTGGACAATAGGGCAGAAAGTGATAGAGTATGGCTTGGAGGGGATAGAGATAGGGCCGGCGACTGCATTGGGGCCCATCCCTCCGTGGATGTTCCCGATGCCAAGAGTGGATCTAGGCGTGATGGAGGCGAGGAGGGAGTGGGGCAAGGGGGGCGTGAGCGTGTGTGTGGAGAGGTATGTCTGTAAACTGTTTTATGGTTTTGTAAGGGTGTACACTGATGGATCTAAGGTAGTGAATGGGGGTAGAGTGGGTGCAGGAGTGCATGTTCCTGAGTTCAGTGTGAGTATCTGTCAAAGAGTCACTGATAATGTGTCGGTGTACACAGCAGAGATGGTGGCTATGTGTGGTGGCGGGTGTGGTTTGGCTCGGCTGCAGAGGGGACGGAGAAGGGAGTGGCTCAGGGAACAGTGCCAGGTGGAGGCAATTGGCCTCAGCTGAGGCGTGGGGCCCACTGTCACGGTGCGGATTCTTGGGGGGCGTACAGGGTCGGCACGACACAGCAGGTACAGATGCAATATGTTTATTTTGGTTTCTTTATGCAGAATCGAGCTCTCCCGCCATCTCGCTCTCTCGCCGTCGAACTCTCCTCCCGCTCTCCGCTACTGCATTTTAAAACCACAATACAAACAGTTAGTGTGCAATTGGCTCAGCTGAGGCCAATTGCCTCCACCTGGCACCGTTCCCTGAGCCACTCCCTTCTCCGTCCCCTCTGCAGCCGAGCCAAACCACACCCGCCACCACACTATGATCATTGGGTTGAGATGGGTGGAGGATGTGACACCACGTAGGGTGCTGATATGTTCAGACTCAGCAGCAGTGTTATGGATGGTAGGTCTGACAGGGAAGACCTATTGGGATATTGCTGGGGTTGGAGAGACAGGGAGTAGAGGTGAGGTTCTGCTGGGTTCCTGCGCATGCTGGAGTGGAGGGTAATGAGGTGGCTGACATGGTGGCAAAGAGTGCTGTAAGGAGGACTGATGGTGTAAGGGTGTCGTTAGGGCGCAGGGAGGTTAAGTGGGAGAGACGGGGGTGAAAACATGACACAGTTTGTGTGATAGATGTGAGGTGGTGGAAACGGTTGAGCGTGTACTGTTTGTCTGTGGGAGGTGTGATAAGGAGAGGGTGGTGTTGTATGGTAGTGTCAGGGAGACGGAGCGGGGCTGGGACTTAGGTGGTGGGAAAGGGAAGGAGGCAGTAATGAAGGCAGTATTTCTGTTTCTTAGGAACACGGGACTTTACAGCGGGATGTAGACGGGAGGCCTCACACGCCTGTGCAGCAGGTGGCGGTATACGCACCTTTAAGTTGGTTGCGATCTGCCAGTAAACGAAAGGAAGAAGAAGAAGAAGAAGAAGAGCTCCTACTGCGTCGGTAGGCGAGCAGCAGCGTTAGCATGCAGCTAGCATCCCGCTATGGGGGGCGAACCGGACCTTTGGACGCGGCGGCGTGTCGTTGCGTAACGTCATGCGCGTGAAGGTGCTCGCAGGGGTCGATACGAGCCGCGAGGCGACGCGGTGAGTCCGAGATGGACGACGCGGGGCCGCGGACGGACTTCAGCTTCTGCTGCGGAGCCGCCACCGAGGTCCTGAAGTTCGGTCCCACTCGGTTACACTCCGGACACCAGCTGCTGTTCCTCATCGTACCAGGTTGGTACATTTTAGCATTAGCGGATGCGGTATGAGCTCATGTTGGACCCGGTCCCTGCTTAAGATACCGATGTGATGCTGTTAGTGGTGTTAATAGCAGCATAAATGCTGGTACTGTTTGGTGTATTAGTCATATTCTACGAGCCAGAGACTGGTGCAAACGGGTTATTAAACGCCTCAAATAAGTCCCATTGAATACTGTTCACTTCATATCCATATCAAACAACGAGGAAAAGACCACGTGGGACTAACTAACCAATCAAATCACAGCAAAGACGATGACTAAAACAACCCACCCAGCAAAGACATCACTGTCTCTGCAGAACGCTTCTGCCATGTATGTCCTACCTGGGGGACAGACAGTGGTTGTCCCCAATGTCTGTTTGACAAAAACACATTTATACTTCAAAGTAAACAACGTGAAACCTTTCAGGTTGCTTCACTGAACAGGAGGGTGAGGTAATTGAACCCTGTTTGGGGCATCAGGTCCTCGGCTGTGTGCCACAGGGACAAACCAGTGAAACTGATTATGACACAAGTAAAATAGATGCCAAAAAGATGATTGTTTAATATAAAATGACTTTTGTAAACGTTTACAGTTTAAATGGCGTCTGTAGCTACGAGATTGGCCAAGCAGAAAAATCTGAAAGTTGAAGTTTGAGAGGATTTGAAAAGTTAATGATTTTAATTCATATAAATCCAATTATAAGAGCTAGAAGGCTGAAGAGTCCTTAAAGAAATGTCCTAAAGGAGCTGAATATTTTAAACGGTTTAATTGCTAAAAGTGAAGGAGTTGAAAGGTGCCAGGGAAGAAGAAGAAGAAGGTGACAAAGAGCAAAACGTTTTGAGCTTTTACTCTGATCGTGTGGCGCTGATCTTCTGTGTGATCCATACAGGGAACCCTGGTGTAGTGGGCTTCTACAGAACCTTCATGCAGACCCTTTACAGTATGTTTGGCTGCTGCCACCCAGTGTGGGCTGTAAGCCACGCAGGCCACTGCGAGCCACCACACTCCATGGACATGGTTGAAGGTTTGCAACCTTCTGAGAATTGTTCCAAGTTCATTGGTAGAGAGAACATTCGAATGATACTAAATAAAAAATAAAAATGAAGTCTTTTAACACCTCTTTCCATATAGATAACTTCTCAGCGGCAAAGCGTGACGTGTTTGGTCTGAACGGGCAGATTGAACACAAGCTGGCCTTCATCAGGAGACACGTTCCCAGAGAAACCAGCCTGGTGCTGGTGGGACACTCCATCGGCTGCTACATTATTCTGGACATCATGAAGAGAAATCCTAAACTCAAGGCGAGTTCCCCGGGCGGCTCGTTGAAATACCAAGTGTGAACACCCGTGGCTGTACCTTCTTAATCCGTCCTTTCATGCAGATCATAAAAGCCGTCCTGCTGTTTCCCACCATCGAGCGCATGGCTGAGACTCCTCAGGGGAAGGTCATGACCCCTGTGCTGTGTCACATGCGCTACCTGGCCTACCTGCCCGTCTTCCTGCTCTCCCTGCTGCCCGCGGCGCTCCAGGAAGGCCTGATTAGACTGGCGTTCAGCAGCATCCGCTCCCTGGATGGCGCTGTAGTCCAGCCTACTGTTGCTCTACTCAGCGGAGACTGTGCAGGTTGGCTCCTATTTGGTCACCACTTCACTTTAGTATTTTAGTTCTCAGGTGGTTACAGTGATCGCTATGTGATTCTTTTTAGGCGCGCAAACGAAGAGACTACGTAGGATCTCTACTGACACAAGGGGACAGATTAGCAGAAAGCTGCTTGGACACGTTCTGCTCACACGTCACACGTGGGGCTTCTTTCATTTCTTTAAGTTCAGAAGTTTTTTGGTTCCGAAACATTACCAATTGGAGGCATGTGTGCTTGATTAGTCTGCGCTGTTCCTTGATGATCATAATACAGAAAGGTGCAGCTGCTTCCCTGCTGTGGTAACAATACAGTTTACACTGTTTCAATGGGCCTCTAGCTGCTCTCAGATGAGATCTGTGCTCAGGGACATTTACATTACATTGGCGCATGGAGGGGAGGGAGCGCTGGGAACCCCAGCTGCTCCCGGTCAAAGTGTCCCTGAGCAAGGCACCAAAAACAAAAGTCTTTTGATAAAAGCGTCACCTAAATGATATGTAATGTTTGTCATTTCCTAATTCTAGAGTGTCTGATGTAAAGAAATGAACCGGTGTGATTTGTTTCTTTTTGTAGTTAACGCCATGTACATGGGGGGTCAGGAAATGAGGACGGTCATGGAACGAGACAACATCACTATAGAGAAAAACATTGACAAGGTAGGAAAGGCCTCAACGTATTTGCCTGCACCGCATAGTATTCCATTGATAACATGAACGCCACGCGGGGTCAACAAGCCCAGTCTGTGTTCCATCAGCTGTAAACTACTCGTGTTCCCTCTTGCAGCTATTGTTTTATTATGGAGCTTCAGACCACTGGTGCCCCGTCCAGTATTATCATGACATCAAGCAGGACTTTCCTCGTGGGAACTTCCGACTGTGTGAGAACAGGTTCCGCCACGCCTTCGTCCTGGATGCAGGGGGAGACGTGGCAAGAATGCTATTTAAATGGCTCCGTGGGGACGTGAGGACGTGGACTCTGGCTGACGTGGACTCTGGCTGACGTGGACTCTGGCTGACGTGGACTCGTTGATCCAGCGAGCTCAGTGCTGAGGGAATGTCAACATTGATTCATTTACTTTATTTCATCATCATTTATTGCTTAATGAACACTCACTTTTATGACATAAATACACGATGGTTTCAAATGAACCATTGATATCAAATTAGAAAGACAAGCATTAAATGAATCTGTCTCAGTAACAAGACACAACTAAACCTTAATAAATCGGGTTTAAATGCGTGTTGTGCCCCCTACTGGTAGAGATGTGAACATGTTTACTACGTTTAACGTGGAACAGTTAAATGATTGACAGCTGGGGTCAAACCTTCCTGGGGCTCACTCAGGTTTGATAATGAGCTAAATATAAAAATTCAGTTTAACTTCAATATGTATAAAATATCTCATTTCAGGAGGATTTTTGAATGATCATTTTGAAAATGTCCTAATTCTTTGTCCCATTAATGTTGACTGCTGGCTTTGCTTCTTCCCAGAGAATATAATATATCAGTGAGTCACCAATGGTATATAAACCTAATGTTTCCCGTTATCTGTCCCGTGCATTATCCGGCTGTGTGGTCACTGAGGCCCCGACCGGACCCTCCAGACCCCCGTCAACACATTTCTTACCTTACAGCCGTCGCACATGGAGTCAGTCAGTTTCCTGTGACCTCCACTATCGAGCAACACCTGGAATGACTGAACAGAAACTAGTGGGAAAGCTTTGGGTTCCATGTCTGACATCATTAGTACGTGTGTTCTCATTGTTAATCTACAGCTGGTATTGGCAGTAATATGACCTTGCTGTTTGAGTACATTCAGTATAGAAATCATTTCCGTCTTCTGCATTGAACGCATTGTAAATCATTCCGTAATTTGGGATTATTGGCTACAAAAAATAAATGAATCTTTAACGTTCTGTATCTCATATTGTCATTTCATTTTCACTTTATTTGTTTGGAGACACACACACATTCTTTTAAACATGAATACATCAAACTGATGCACCATGCTTTGATATTCCTCCCGAGAATCTTCACCTTTTGAATTGTAAAACAGCCCCCAGCGTCCACATGTAACCTGTGGTGAGGAATCCTTTATCAGTAACGGTGGCCAGTGTGTGGCCACGTGCACACGGACACCTGAATGCTGTTGCTTTACGTGAGCGGCTTATTTATTCCTCAGTAGTCACGTAAAACACTTCATTCTGTAACACGATATCATTGCAAATGCCGGTGCCGGTGCCAATGTCTCTGCTGAAGCGAGTTCCTCTTGGCGGTGCCCCTCTGGTCTGCATCAGTCCTTGAGGCAGAAGCTCTGTCCAGGCCCCAGCACCTGTCTGACGGTCACGTTCACCCTGGAGCCCTGCATGTACCTGCAGCACGCTGCCCAGTCCCGCTCCGAGGAGGCCGGGCTGCAGCTCTCCGCCTCAAACACCGGCCGACCCTGAGGTGGTGCCACGATGCGTGGGACCGCGTGGTAAAAGAGCCGGCTCGGTCCCGACATCACCATCACGTCCCCACAGTGAACGTACATAGCGGTCGGGGGGTCCTGTCTGCGGCTGCCTCCCAAAAGGAAGATAGCGGACCTCCCAAAACTATGGGGACAGAAAACAGGATTTGTACCTTTTCTGTCCCACGGCACTGAGCACTGCTGAGCGTCTCCTCTCACCTGAAGGACAGCAGAGGCCGGCTGTGAGCCAACTCGGACTCGTCCACGTGTATTCCCAGCGAGGAGTCACACCCGTAGTAGTTGAGGATTCCAGCCTGTGCGTTGAAGCCCGGGGAGCCACATGCCGATGCTACGTGGAAGGCCAGCGAGTGGAGATCCGCTGGAAAAGGAGTGTAGTGGTTGGCAGAGTACGTCTGGGAACAGCCAAACGAAAAGGAGGGGTTGAGGTTTGTACAAGAAGAGCAGCCTGGACCCTTTTCTCGCTTTCTTCGATGCCAAACGGTTTCCTGACATTTGGCCAAATCTCTAAAACAAATGAAATCACCTGAAAACATCAAGGTTTAAGTGTCTGATGTGTGGAGCCTCCATCACACCTGCTGATAAGCCACGAGCAGCAGACGAGTGCACGCGGACAAATCCAACTTTATCAAACCGGGCTGCGAGCGCAGACGCTGCATCACAAGTGCATCACGTGATTCATGTGTGTACAACCTGAGGTCCATGAGATGATAGAGACCCTTTCTGCAACTCATTCAAAGCAGCGTCTGAAACAGCTCTGTAGCCTGCGTTTCTATTCATTTTGGTCTATTATTTGCTTTTATTCTGAATTACAGACAGATGTTCTGGGTCTCGGTCATTGGACCAAGGTTCTGCTTTAGTGAGTGCATCTCCTGACTATGACTGTGAACACTGTAGAAACATACAGGAATGTGAGGGGGAACATCGAAACATGCACCTTCTCTTGCACACTCCCCATAAAAACAACTGATTGGGACTCAAAGCAAGTTTCATTCTGTAATAAAAAGATCAAACGTGAATGATATGCTAATAAACTGTACACGAGTGATCAGAGCATTAGTAGTCATGTCATGATTACCTTGGTGTCCCAGTTGTAATGGTATCCCAGAGTAACCCAGCGCAGCTTCTCAAGTAGAGTCTTTGCTTGTGTCTTTCCACAGGGAGAACCACTGCTGGGATCAGACGGATTACATTGTCGGTTTAAACTGTCCCGTGTAGTATTGTCTGAAATACAGAATCAGAAATATCTTCTTCCCCATTCCCTTCAAATTAAACTTTAAATAGCTTCAACTGGGTTTACAGCCCCAAGGCTTTGTAGTGTCCACGTTTGTGTGAATAGAGGGACTTGCATTGCCTCTGTTCTGATTGACCAGAGGGAAGCTGTGTGCTGAGGCCGAGCAAACGTAAAGCGCTTTGCTTGGTCACAGCAGGCCGCTGTGCTCCCAGAGACTTAAGTGAATCATTTTACTGTGAGAGGAGAGAGACCCGTGGTCCAGAGTCTACCCGGTGTGATAACAGTATAACGTGGCGCTGCATGTTGACCAGCAGCCACATGAGGAAAGAGTCCGATGGACACGGAAGGTGGACGCACAGGGAGACATTCAGGGAGAAATGTCTTACCTAAGGCTAAGAACACTCTTGTCCCAAATGTCCTCGGTATCAGAGGGGGACATGTGCATGTCCAGGTTGCAGACGTTGGGCTTTTGAGGGTAGACCTTCAGACACTGTGTGACCCAGAAGGGTTTGGAGCCCCGCAGGAACGGGTTGGAGATAAACGTGAAGCCTGAAAACAAAGTAGTACAGTACTTAGTCAAAGAGAACATTTGGGGTCAGGATCAAACCGTTATCATACATCTTGTGTCCCTGCAGGACGGTCATGGGACACAGTGCCTGTGGAAGGAAAGATGCTCCCGTGTCAGGTGACACAAGAAAGAAAAGAAGGAAACAACTCACAGAGCCTTTAAAGCAGAGTGTGAGTGTTCACTGAGTAATCAATATGCTAAATATCTTCATAGAGTTCAGCCCAAAGTGTTTACACAGACAGCTGTGGTTCCACACGGCTGAGCAGTGAGTCACATTGAATGTATCTTCCATTTGTCATGCATCTGTGTTTGTTTGCATGTTTAGTTTGGGTATGAAAGCGTGTTATGTTGTTACCTAACTGCCCGTCCCTCAGTCTGTCCTGTGTGTACCTGGGTAGCCGTGCAGGCCGAAGGCTCTCCAGTCTCTGACAGGCTGTAATCCAACCCTGGCAGCCTCCCCATCGCTCACTCCACCAACGTCCAGTATAGCCGGGACTACCTGTCAATCACACAGACAAGGACACGCATACACACCCAATGACGGCTTAAATATAGACTGTTGTGAAGTGTCTTGCAGACAAACAATAAGCACCAAACGTTCACAGTGGACAATCTTTCCAAGATTGTCACAGAAAAACCCCCAATGTCATCTACAATGTATGTCACATTATAATACACCAGTACTTTTTGTGCGAGGGGCTGGTCATGATTTGCAGACCCCCCCAGTAAACTATTAATTGACAATCAAAAAAATAATAATGGAAGATGATATTTTAAAGCCACTCACAGATAAATAATATATGAAATAAATGGTTTATTCAAATATCACAGCGTCGCTTAACATCTTTTCTCACTTTTACTGGATTGTAGTTCATTAGGGCCTTCGCCATATAATTCCAACTCAATTGACTGACATAGGCAAATATCTGTCCAAATATGAGGAAATTATTCAAAAGAATTAACCAGTTGACTGCCTTAGTTCTTCCCAAAACGGGCATCTCACAAAGCTACATATGGACATGGAGAGCGTCCTCATGACAATCGACCAGGTAAAAGATGAACGTCCTGCTAAAGGAATGCCTGTGATCAAACTGATGTGATGAACACCACACGCTGCAGCCGAGCGTCCACTGTCCCGCAGACTGTCTCACTTACTGTCCCGCAGACTGTCTCTCATACTGTCCCACAGACTGTCTCTCATACTGTCCCACATACTGTCCCACAGGCTGTCTCTCATACTGTCCCGCAGACTGTCTCACATACTGTCCCACAGGCTGTCTCTCATACTCATACTTATGACATCGGACGTGGACGTAATAAGGATCCACGTCTCCCGCCCCAATTTAGCCCCCAGCAACCCATGAAGGACAAGCGGCTTTAAAGATAGACGGACGGAAACTATTTCAATCCAGGTCACATCTCACGTCACATCTCACGTTATATCTCACGTTATATCTCACGTCACATCTCACGTCACATCTCACGTCACATCTCACATCTCACGTCACATCCAGGTTACATCTCACGTCACATCTCACGTCACATCTCACGTCACATCTCACGTCACATCTCACGTCATATCCAGGTCATATCCAGGTCATATCTCATGTCACATCTCACGTCACATCTCACGTCACATCTCACGTCACATCTCACATCTCACGTCACATCTCACGTCACATCCAGGTTATATCTCACGTCACATCTCGCGTCACATCTCACGTCACATCTCACGTCACATCTCACGTCACATCTCACGTCACATCTCACGTCACATCTCACGTCACATCCAGGTTATATCTCACGTCACATCTCGCGTCACATCTCACGTCACATCTCACGTCACATCTCACGTCACATCTCACGTCATATCCCAGGTCATATCTCATGTCACATCTCACGTCACATCTCACGTCACATCTCACATCTCACGTCACATCTCAGTTGCACGTCATATCTCACGTTATATCTGACGCCACATCTCACATTTATATCTCAGTTGTTGTGTGAGACGTTATATCTCACGTTATATCTCAGTTGCACGTCATATCTCACGTCATATCTCACGTTATATCTCAGTTGTTGTTATATCTCACGTTATATCTCAGTTGCACGTCACATCTCAGGTCACATCTCAGGTGTATCCGAGGTTACATCCGAGGTCACATCGCTTACACTTCTCATGTCGCATCTCATGTGCACTTTAGCACAGCACTCATATCTGACGTCACATCTCACGTTATATCTCAGTTGTTGTGTGAGACGTTATATCTCACGTTATATCTCAGTTGCACGTCATATCTCACGTCATATCTCACGTTATATCTCACGTTATATCTCACGTTATATCTCAGTTGTTGTTATATCTCACGTTATATCTCAGTTGCACGTCACATCTCACGTTATATCTCACGTTATATCTCAGTTGTTGTGTGAGACGTTATATATCAGTTGCACGTCATATCTCACGTCATATCTCACGTTATATCTCAGTTGCACGTCACATCTCACGTTATATCTCACGTTATATCTCAGTTGTTGTGTGAGACGTTATATCTCACGTTATATCTCAGTTGCACGTCACATCTCACGTCACATCTCAGTTGCACGTCATATCTCACGTTATATCTCAGTTGTTGTGTGAGACGTTATATCTCAGTTGCACGTCATATCTCACGTCATATCTCACGTTATATCTCAGTTGTTGTTATATCTCACGTTATATCTCAGTTGCACGTCACATCTCACGTTATATCTCACGTTATATCTCAGTTGTTGTGTGAGACGTTATATCTCACGTTATATCTCACGTCATATCTCACGTTATATCTCAGCTGCATGTTATATCTCACGTCATATCTCACGTTATATCTGACGTCACATTTCACGTTATATCTCAGTTCTTGTGTGAGACGTTATATCTCATGTTATCACGTCACATCTCACGTTATATCTGACGTCATATCTCACGTCATATCTCACGTTATATCTCAGCTGCATGTTATATCTCACGTCATATCTCACGTTATATCTGACGTCACATTTCACGTTATATCTCAGTTCTTGTGTGAGACGTTATATCTCATGTTATCACGTCACATCTCACGTTATATCTCACGTCATATCTCACGTCATATCTCACGTTATATCTCAGTTGTTGTTATATCTCACGTTATATCTCAGTTGCACGTCACATCTCACGTTATATCTCACGTTATATCTCAGTTGTTGTGTGAGACGTTATATCTCACGTTATATCTCAGTTGCACGTCATATCTCTCGTCACATCTCACGTTATATCTCAGTTGTTGTGTGAGACGTTATATCTCACGTTATCACGTCACATCTCACGTTATATCGCACGTCATATCTCACGTTATATCTCAGCTGCATGTTATATCTCACGTCATATCTCACGTTATATCTGACGTCACATTTCACGTTATATCTCAGTTCTTGTGTGAGACGTTATATCTCACGTTATCACGTCATATCTCACGTTATATCTCATGTTATATCTCACTTCATATTTCACGTCACATCTCACGTCACATCTCACGTTATATCTCACGTTAGATCTCACGTTAGATCTCACGTTAGATCTCACGTCACATCTCACGTTATATCTCACGTTATATCTCACGTCACATCTCACGTTAGATCTCACGTTATATCTCACGTCACATCTCACGTTAGATCTCACGTCACATCTCACGTTATATCTCACGTCATATCTCACGTCACATCTCACGTCATATCTCAGTTGTTATATCTCACCTGGTCACTCGGTGCACTTCTTGAAAAGTCAATGACATTGCTCAAATCTGGAGGAGGGTTTCTTCTCTTGTAAAACTTGAATATTTTTCTAAATGCATCTTCCCCACTCTCCGCCATGGAGGCTGCCATTTTAGCCATGACGTAATCCACTTCTTCTTCTGTAGGTTTATGGCAGTTGGTAGTCATCTTATTGGGGCATTAGCGCCACTTTCTGCCCCGGAGGGTGGATCCGTCAGTACACTGTCTCCCCCCCAAAATAAATAAAAACAAATAACTGAATAACGTTTCCTATACATACATATACATTATTACAGCCTCTGGAAAGTCCGTGAGACAGACGAGCCGTAATGTTCTTTACTGAACCGTTTCCAGTTCTAAACAAATGACATCAGGGTCTCAAAGGCCAAAACAATAAACACGAGGGTTCTGCTTTCCTACTGGAAATAAGCAGAAACAATACTGAGCTCCCTATCAGCCACAACACAAGCATATTAAGATACATGGCAGAGAAACCCGACAGAAGCTCCTGGTGGGTCTCAAACCGGGAGAGATGAGACCAGAGCCCCGTTCCTGTACGTGGATAACTGAGTTAGCCGGATCATCTTCAGGATGAGAGGACGTAGTTCAGGCTTTTCGGTTCCCCAAAGCAGCTTTGTCTAAATCACCACAGCAACACAATGAAAAACTTGAAGCTGCTCCGGTTCATCTGAGCTGCTGGATCAGTTCATCAGTCCTCATTGATGAAGGAGCGACATGAGTTAGATGAACGTTTTATAGGGAGAGACTTCTCCCAGATCAGAGACCCGTTTAGCCGCCATGACGTCCTGTACGAGCGCTACAGATGCTGAGGACCAGAATCATTTATTCACAAGAAGATTTCCCCGTTACGTGATGAACACCACACGCTGCAGCCGAGCGTCCACTGTCCCGCAGACTGTCTCACTTACTGTCCCGCAGACTGTCTCACTTACTGTCCCGCAGACTGGCTCTCATACTGTGCCTCAGACTGTCTCACTTACTGTCCCACAGGCTGTCTCACTTACTGTCCCGCAGGCTGTCTCACTTACTGTCCCGCAGACTGGCTCTCACACTGTCTCTCACACTGTCTCACACAGTGTCTCTCACACTGTCTCACACAGTGTCTCACACTGTCTCTCACACAGTCTCTCTCACACTGTCTCTCATACTGTCTCTCACACACTGTCTCACACACTGTCTCACACACTGTCTCTCATACTGTCTCACACAGTCTCACACACTCTCTCATGTCTCACACACTGTCTCATACTGTCTCACACTGTCTCACACACTGTCTCTCACACTGTCTCACACAGTGTCTCACACTGTCTCTCACACTGTCCATGTCTGTACGGTGCTGCGATGCAGAGAACATCTGGAAAGCAGCTGCATGTCGTGCTCTTGGTAAAGTTCTGTTGGTTTATTTGTCTCTTAATAAACTTCTGGATGTTCCACATTTCACTGCTTCAATTGATCAAATGTCTGATGATGAACGATGGATTTATAATGATTCTCACACACATGTAATAAACTAGTTCTATGTGGTCGTCTACATACATATGATACATACGCTGATACATAGATCCTGTTCATTCGTATCAATCTGATGCTTTGGGCTTGTTTTCATCTACATACTCTGAAGGAGTTGAGATCTTTATTCTCATTGGATGATGATCATCATTTAAATAGATATAATGTGATTGATTAGAGTGACGAGGCACTAAAATGAGCCGTTACATTTTACCATCACGCGTAACGTTAACTTGTGTGTGATACTTTGTGTACAGAAAGAACAACGTGAAATATGTATAATACGTTAAATTGATCTGACAGAAATGATTCAAATGAACATGTTATCTCCTCATATGCCTTCATGATCATCTCCTGCTCTTCCTTTAACTTTATTTGCCGTTATACTGTTAACAAATCCTGGTTTCTGTGATCGACTCTTCCGCCTTCTGACGTGAGACGGTTATCCTGATGACTGAAGTCTGGTTCAAACTAACGAGACCTTTGAGCGCCCATCGGCGGCCTGCGTGAAACACTCCCCAAGCTTTCTCCTACAACACAGGGACAATATGAGGTCAAAGGGCGTAACATACATCCATGACCCTTCAACCATATCCCTGAATTCCCACCACATCCAATGAAATACATCAGTGTTTTAGGAAAGCTAACAGCACTCCACCCTGTGCTCTCTCGCCCATCTTCAGTAGCCCCATTTCCCTCATCCTCTCTCTCTCTGTATCTCATGCTTCAACAACTCAATATGTGCTCACCTGACTCCTCTTCTCCACGTCCTCCACACAACCCTGCCTGGTGTTTCCCTGTGTGTTCTTTAGAGCACAACGGTCCAAGCTTAACACCACTGTCTGCTCCTACTGCCCACCCTCGTAATTCTGACATTCTTATGTATTTATATATACACTTCTTTTTATTTAAATAAATAAAATGAAACAGCCAGGCTCTCCAGGGTACCACCTTTCTTAACCATGTCCTAATTTATTATTGGATTAGTAAGTGTATTTGTAATTGTAGCACTACTTCTAGTCGGACGGCAGGCGGCGACATGCTGGTTTAACGTGGACTGGTCCACGCGCCACCATCGAAGAAGAACGAGACAAGGACGAAACATGGCGCTGCCATCCAAGAAAGTGTTCGAGGTCTTCGTGTCTAAAATCCCGTGGACTATAGCCGGCAGTGAGTTCATTCAATGGTTCAAACTAGCGTCCGTGTCCAGCGTCGTTGTGGGTGTTCGCTTCGTACCGTTAGACAACTTTACCGCGTCGCGCGGGACTCGAGCGCAGACCGGGCAACGCGAGAGCGACATGCACCCGCACCTCGGCTGGATGTGGGTCACCTTGCTGATGCTAACGCAGCTCCATGCTAACGAGGAGGACCCGCCCACCGATAGCCTCGTGACGTCAGTACGCAGTGTGTGTGTACGTAACGTTAGTGTGTTTTGTTTCTAAGACGTCTGGACCCTGTTCCTCGTACGTGGTTCAATTTAGCCGATGAAATGTCCGATTACCAGATGATTGGATGATTGACATCAGACTGTTCTCGGCTCAAACGTCTCGTTAGTTTGAACCAGACTTCAGTCATCAGGGTCAGCAGGCGGAAGAGTCGATCACAGAGACCAGGATTTGTTAACAGTATAACGGCACATCAGAGCAGCAGATGATCATGAAGCCATATGAGGAGATAACACGTGTAACAAGTGCAGTTCCTGTCTGCTGGCAGGAGGCTTCATGGACTCGTCATCATCCAGCGAGAATAATCATCTCAACTCTTTCAGAATAAGCAGATAAAACAAACCCAAAGCGTCTAATTGATACGATGAATAGTTATGAGGATATATGTACTGTATCCTACCTGCATGTGTAGATGACCATATGCAACTAGTAGTTGTATTATGTATGTGTGTGTTAGGGCTGCTCACCAATGACGTTTGAATATATTACTTGTGCAGGTCATTTCTCTAAGTTTAAACATATTTAACAACATATTACCGACACAAAAATAAGTAAATGAACTAATGGCCCAGACCACAGATCTCTGCACAAAGCGCTTTAAATGAACGACTACAGTAAACAGATGCTGATGCTGATGAGTGCTGATCAGCAGTTCTGTCCAATTTAAGGTTGTGGTTCTTGTCCCAAAGAGGTCAGGCTTCATTCAGTGATTGAGACAAATATTATTAACATTAATTGAAGATTTACGGTATTGAACGCTCCAAGCGAATTGTGTCAAATAATCAAACCAGTGCATGAAGCTGTTGTAGCCGATCTAATCTATTTTATTCATGCAGTATACAGTCGGTAGTATTTCCTCCACACTGACCCAATCAACTTAATGCATAATTAACACTGCTTGCTTGTTCATTGGGTGAATGTGCACCGTTTAGAGCCGCTGTCTGTTGGATGTATTGCTCCAATATATGTGACTGGTTTTGAGGGTTTTCACCAATATGTTGTTGTGTATGTTGTGTTGTGAATGTGGGACAGAGGCAGATAACTGCTGCTGCTGTTAAGTGAACCCGCACACACGTGTAGGGGAACCAGTAGGTTTATGCACCAGCAGGAGCCTCAGTGTGCACACGTGTAGGGGAACCAGTAGGTTTATGCACCAGCAGGAGCCTCAGTGTGCACACGTGTAGGGGAACCAGTAGGTTTATCCACCAGCAGGAGCCTCAGTGTGCACACGTGTAGGGGAACCAGTAGGTTTATCCACCAGCAGGAGCCCCAGTGTGCACACATGTAGGGGAACCAGTAGGTTTATGCACCAGCAGGAGCCTCAGTGTGCACACGTGTAGGGGAACCAGTAGGTTTATGCACCAGCAGGAGCCTCAGTGTGCACACGTGTTGATGATGCTGTTTGTTTTGCAGAGGAGATGAGGGAGTACTTTGGACAGTTTGGCCCTGTGAAGAAGTGTCTTCTTCCATTTGTAAGTTGTCACAGCATTAGAAGCACTGAATGAGTCTGTCTGTTCCATGGTGCGTATGTTGCGTTTGTTCCAGGATAAAGACACCGGCTTCCACAGAGGCTTCTGCTGGGTGGGCTTCACAACAGAGGAAGGACTGAACAATGCTCTTCAAAAAGACCCTCACATGCTGGAAGGAGCAAAGGTAGAGCTAGAAGACAGAAGGATGAAAACTGCAATTACACACATTTCTACAGTTGTTTAGGCCTGTTCAATTATGGCCTTATTTTCTATCCTTTGTTCTTGTATGTTTAAGGCTTTCGTTTATAGTCAACTTCAATGTCCAAACCAATTTCTGTTTCTCAATAGTTATGTGTAGGTGTCTCCAGCTCACCGATGCCAAGAGGCTGCTAGTCCCAACGCAGCAATATCAGCATGCTTTCAGGCCTCGTACCTGACAGTAACTCCTCACTATCTTTGCGTGCTCTCCTTTTGCTTTCAGATGCAGGTTCAGAGGAACAGACGTCCGTTTGCAGGGCAAAGGTCAAACCGAGACAGTGAACACGAGTGAAGCTGTGAGGGCGAAGCAGACGTCCCTGCTGCTCGGATGTTTATGAGACGTTTCAGTTTCTCTGCATTTGTTCACCTTGCAGTGACGATGACTTGCCATCGTCTCAACGTGGAGGAGGAGGCCTTATTGGCTCTAATAGTGTTTCTTTCTTTCACCGTTCTGATCTCCAGATTAGTGCAATAAAACACTGTTGGGATCCATTCTGTCTTTTTACATTTTTATTCTTAAGATACAAACTTTGACTTGTGCCGTAGTATTTTATGTGGTGCTTCTACTCCAGTGCAGGATCTGAGTACTTCCTTCACGAAGTAGCTGGTAGAGCCGGTGCTGTAGGTGTTAGAGGCATAGAGAGCGACGCAGGACGGGGAACAAAGCCCCCTGAGGACCAGGGGACGGAGCTGGGGACTTGGACCCGCTGGATTGAGTCAACTAGAGAAAACCCATTCCGTTGGTGACGGACGTCGTTGTTGTTTCCCCAAATGAACTGTTTGTGATGAAGAATAAAATGGTACCTTTTTGTAACGTTGTACTTGCTTGTTTTTAGTTAGGTGCCCCCCCCCTCAAACATCGAGTCATGAAACGCTCCACTTCACTGTTTAGTAGTCCTCAGCCAGTGATCGCTGAACTGTAACATTGGCATGGAAACAAACACAATACTGGGAGTAGTGTACTACAGTATCGCTGGTTATAGTGTGTCAGCTAAATGTCATGTGATCTAAGCATATCCCATCATGCAGTTAGAGGATTTCATTCACTCAGGACGGAGGTAGGAGAGCCAGCATCAGGGGAAGGGTTCACTTACGTTAAGTCATGTTCTAATATAATCAATGCCGGTTGGTGGAATTAGGGCCAGCCAATAAACTTCACAACATCCCAGTAGTTAAATATTCAACATTTATTCCAACAGTTTGACATAATGAGGACATTTTAATCACACGCCCTCTACGGCACCTTGAGCCACAGAAAAAGATTATAATTATTATATATATGTGTGTATTTATTTATAGATATATATATATGACGCGTGTGTTCTCCGGAGGCTCCATTCCTTGAGCGCATCGGAGGGAGCCGACGGAATGAGACAGCAGCAGCCAAAGTGACGCAGTCAGTCAGGAATGAGGAGCAGGGCTCCGGAGGACGCAGCCGACGGAATGAGACACGGCCACTGTGCTGCTGGTAAGCCTGAAGGAAGCAGCCATCACCTCTAGTGGCACAACGTCAACCAGTCGTCCCCTCTATGAACACATGGCTCCTCCGGTAAGTGTTTCACAGCGTGGCTGGCAGTGGCAGCAGTAGCAGTAGTAGTAGCAGTAGTAGTAGTAGTAGCAGTAGTAGTAGCAGTACTAGTATTAGTACTAGTATTAGTACTAGTATTAGTAGTAGCAGTATCCACCTCGCAGCGGTAGTTACAAAACGCAGCCAGTACCCACGTTACACAAGTTACACAAGTGTAGGCGATGTCGTACGCGCGCGCAGACAGAACAAAGGAACCGTGAACCTGTTTAATCACATTCACAGGATTCAAGTCAGGAACCATTGAAGGACTTTGCAGAGGCAGCGGACATGTTGACGTGACAAACATCCGGTTTCCAGAGCAAACTGTCACGTGTGTCTACGGACATCAGATATTATATATTATATATTATATGTTACATATAAAGGCTCCATGTCGCGAGCGCGTTGCCGGTGTTACGCGCCGACTGGTTTTTACACCTGCTGGTTGTCTCCGCGTGCGTGTTTGTTTGTTTGTTTGTTTGTCCCTTACAGCGGCAGATGTTTTCTGCCTCGGTCACCTGATTCGTCACAACATTCACACACATATTGCTGAAAATGTTCAAAAGTCCTCACGTGTCCTTTGCAGCGGTTACTTTGTATAAGTATAAGTGAGCACTACGTCACTGCCACGTGTGGAGAAACACAATGAAGACCAGAGATTTATTAAACGATCCACCTGGATTCAAACCCTGTGAAGCAAAGTGACAACACGTACAAGACGACGCGATGCGTCAACCAGCACTGATGTCTGCTGCTGTTTGCTGTACTCGTCATCTCGTTGTACATCGGCAGTGGCTGGAAAACCAGTCGGTTCAGAGGGAACCGAGACCACTGGTGTTTGGTGGCGTGTTGTGGAACACTTCCACACATGTGTATCGATGCTTGATACAGTTATTTACACATTACATCCACACCGTTAAAAAAGTGCTTTACATTACATGTTATATAGCGGACGCTTTTATCCAAAGCGACTTACAATAAGTGCATTAAACCATAGAGTACAAACTCAGGAGAACAAGAAACAAGAAAGTACAATTTCCTCAAATAAGCCAATTTACATTTTGCTATAGATGAGTGACGTTACAAGTACAATGTAAGTGCTCCAGTTAGTTAGTGTGTTAGTGGAGGTAGAGTCTGAAGAGGTGTGTCTTTAGTCTGAAGATGTGAAGGCTCTCTGTGGTCCTGATGTCTTCAGAGACCTCCTTCCACCATTTAGGAGCAGGACAGCAAAGAGTGGAGATCTAGTCGAGTGTTTTGCTCTCAGTGAGGAGGAACAAGCAGTTTATCACATGCAGAGCGGAGAGTGCGGGTCGGGGTGTCGGGTTGGACCAGGTCCTGGATGGAAGCTGGACCCCATCCATTCACAGCACGGTACGTGAGCACCAGTGGTTAGAACTGGATGCGGGCAGCCACCGGTACCAGTGAAGAGAGCGGAGGAGTGGAGTTTACAGACGTGGAATCGTAAAATACACCGCGGATTAATCAATCACGTTAATTAGCAACATCAGCATAAAGGGAGAAATGAAAGGGTCTAAATACAGAGCGTGTAACATTACAAACAGGGGATAATACGGTGGAAAGGACCCTGTCCGCTCTGCACCTCCTGCCTGCCACCCGTCTCCTCACAGGTCACCGGGGGTCACGGGTCCATCTGGACCTGGTCTTGCCTCTGTGGTTCTGTGCATTGACTGTTTGGATGATCATCCTGTAGACTATTGCACTTGTGTCCATCCGGGGAGGAGGATCCCTCCCGGTTTGCTCTCCCACAGGTTCCTTCCTCGTTTCTCCGTTAGGGGTTTTTGGGGGAGTTGTTCCTGTTTGGGTGTGAGTGTCCTGGGACAGAGGACGTCCACAGATTCTAAAGTCCTCTAAAGGACAAAATGAATGGAATCCAATTAGAATTTGCTCCTGACTTTTTGCTCTTGCAGATGTTCAGGCATGGTGATTTTTTTATTTGTTTGCAAATTGTGAGCCATCAAACAATTACTTATAAGCCGATTAAGGCCTTAAGGTTTCTACAAAAACAGGCAGTGTTTACATGGCTGTAAATCATGACGTCCATTTCTTCATTTAGTGGATAGAACATTTCTAATATGACATCCTTCTGTGCTCAGTGTTAATAATTATTGAGTATTTTCACAGCATAAAGCATCACGAAGCACCGACAAAGTGTTCAACGATACGCCACCAAAACCAGTCGTCTCGGTTCCCTCTGAACCAAGAGGTTTACAACTGTATCCAGTTTAATAAGATAATAAGGAAACTATCACCAATAACTATCAAGCTCGAGTGGCCGACCGCTTGGAGCAGACGCCCCGAAACGTGTTGTTATTTTGCTCGACAGGGTTCGAATCCAGATTGAGGCGATCTTTCATTCAAATATATTTGAATCTATATTTTCTGCCCACCAAAACCAGTGGTCTCGGTTCCCTCTGAACCAACTGGTTTTCCAGCCACTGCCGATGTACAACGAGATGACGAGTACAGCAAACAGCAGCAGACATCAGTGCTGGTTGACTCATCGCGTCGTCTTGTACGTGTTGTCACTTTGCTTCACAGGGTTTGAATCCAGGTGGATCGTTTAATAAATCTCTGGTCTTCAATGTGTTTCTCCACACGTGGCAGTGACGTAGTGCTCACTTATACTTATACAAAGTAACCGCTGCAAAGGACACGTGAGGACTTTTGAACATTTTCAGCAAAATGTTGTGACGAATCAGGTGACCGAGGCAGAAAACATCTGCCGCTGTAAGGGACAAACAAACAAACAAACAAACAAACAAACAAACAAACAAACAAACAAACAAACAAACAAACACGCACACGTAGACAACCAGCAGGTGTAAAAACCAGTAGGCACGTAACAGCGGTGCCTAACACACGGCGGCCGTCTTGGTAGGACGAGCTCGCTCATGATACATGTACTTTTTAAATAACCATCCGTTTTTTAACTGTTTGTTATAAACGTCAGAGGTGGTTATGACACTGCATACATAATATGAATAATTATCTTATGTTCTAAAATAGGGACAAGATTTCCCTTTACAAATATAAATCAAGAAATGCCGCATGTTGAAATCCCCACCCTGACACTGCATACTAATTAGAACCGTGGGTTTTTATACGAAAATGATATTAAACCGAACATTATTCATACGTTTGCAGTGTGATAACAAACCGAACTGTTGTGGGTGAGCGAGCTCGTCCTACCAAGACGGCCGCCGTGTGCAGATGTTCTGTTCTCCGCCGTCAGACATAATATCTATGAATGCATTTCCCCTCTTGGGGACTTTAGTTCAGTCCAAAGCTTCCTAAACGTTGAACATATGTGCCTACTCAAAGGTTTTCCTCTTCGGAGCAGGAAGATATCAAACAGGCTCTGTCCCAAACCCAGGTGGTCTGGGCGTCCACCTCGGGTGTAGACGATCATCTTTGACACCACAAGATTCTAAACATCGACGCACAATTGTCTTGATTATCAGATGACAGAACACCTCTAAGTGAAGGAGCACGGACTCACTACATCTCACCTGCTTTCCACACGACGTTCATTCTTCCTCCCGTAGTTTCCCTGATGGCCGGTCACCTGCTCAAAGTCTCCTCCTTGGCCACGGCGGTGTTTGCCACCTCTGGCTTTTACCTGTACAGCCGCCCGCTGAGCCTCAATGACCTGAGCGTCGTGCGCTTTGGACGAGCTGCCACCACCGTGAGTTACTTCCAAGTGGAGCGCGTCCTTCTTGTGGACGATTCATGTTGTTCTGTTGATGTGTGTGTTTAACGTGCTGTCATGACAGATCCTTTTCTAAGACCACTTTTAGTTCATCAATATTCTATAGAATTTTGAGGGCTGGAGGGGGGCCGTCCTAAGCGAGGGGGGCGTGGTCCTTGTGAGCGGCGCTCTGTATCCGCTGGTGAGCGCGTGCTCTCTTGTGTACGATGCTGCGCTGAGAGAAATAGTGCAGACTTTAATAACGGAGGGAAACACTGACTTCTAGATCTTAGCAGAAGGCTGATGACTAGCGAGCTGCTGTAGCTGCACCAGCGCTGGGCTGCTGCGTAAAGCTTTTCAATGGGCTCAGGCGCCGAAAGCTGCGCTGCGTTTGGGTGCGGCAGGTACCGGTCGTATAGGAACCGGTGCCATATTGGTGCTGGTTCTTGGTACTCGACGCATTGATTTGGCAGTGTTTATATCTGAATAGTGCACAGTTACAAGAGGGATTTAAAATAACTTGAGACATTTTCTGGGGCAGTTAAAAAGTGGGCGTGTAGTCCTGCTGTTGCTTTATGAAGCACTGACTGGTTTAGGGCCAAAGCACATTACAGTAGAACCGCCACGAGCCCCTAGGTGGTCTGGGACTGGTCGTCTTTCTGTTCTCAGTGTCACATGGAGAAGCAGCGTTGAGTTTTTCTGCTCCACGTATCTGGAACAAAGTCCCAGAAAGCTGCAGGTCTCTCAGCTCCATTTTGGTTCTCTTAAACTGCACTGCAAATTCATTTCTATCTCTTTTAACGCTGTCTTTTCAATGACTGCTTTTTCATATGTTCCAATCAATTTTCTTAACTGTTTTAAAATCTACTTCCTTTACTTTGGATGATTTATAAGCACTTTGAATTACCTTGTTTTTGATATGTGCTTGCTGCCATTATTACATCAAGGACTCTGTCAGTGCTTAAAAGTCTCCAAATAAACAGTGTTGATGATTCTAGAAAGTGTGTCCAAGTCCCACTCGGGTCTTGAAACTGCTCCAGATAGCGTTGCCTGCTTTTCTCTTAGCTGTTCGCTTATGCTAATCGTTCATCCTGTTAATCAGCCCTTCTAGAACCAAGTCATCCCATTCTAATTGTTTCAACCCTCTATAAATGTTTAGTTAAATGGTATTCCAAACTCTAAAGGTGTACTCTGCTCTTTACATGTCACTACTCTGTTGTCTGCAGACGGTGCTCATCAGTGTCGACTATATCACTGCTTTCAAACATGTGGAATACGACACAGAGGAGTATTGGGCACTCAAATCCAAGGTAGGACTACACTTTGTGATACATGTGGACTGAAGGACTGAATCCATCTGATTTCCTTTCACTTTGCTGCGCTCAAATGTGCGCAATGTACAAACTCACTGGGGTTATTTCTTCAATGTTCAATCAAAGCAATGTTGAACTTATATTTTGCTGTACAAATACTATTTATGATAATATATAATATTATTATTATTATAATACTATTATATGTTATTGTATTGCTTCATTAGGTATACAGCAGACACTAAGAAAAATTATGATTCATGTTCAGATGTTTGTATCCACCTTACTTTCCTATAGCTCACTGATCTCCTTATTGGCTGCTAAATGTATCACCGATTATGTTGGACATTGAAATGCTAGTGTGAAGTGCAGCTTCAGAATCTCGTTCAAAAAATATTTCTATTTCACCCACATTGCCGCAATTTTCACACTTGATTCATTTTTGGATTCCCTCAATTTTGCCCCCCAGCTTCCCCTTTCTAACCCTGCCTCTGAACCCTTCAGTTGCCCCCCAACTTCCTTCTCGCCAGCCCCCTTGTCAGCTCCCTCAGACCTGCGTACCATATATATGTGGCGTCATTGTGGGTTGGTCTACCTGTAATATCATTTTCATTACAGCATATCATGGTAGTGGACAGGTGGCTTTGTTCTGGGAGAGAGGAGGCCTGTCTCTGAAAGGCTGCATCACAATGGTTTGCATTGCAAAAAATAACAATAACACAAATTAAGAAACCTTGTATTATGTGGTTGAGGCAAGTTTATTTACATGTCATTCAAGCTGACACTTTTATCCAAAGCGACTTACATTGCATTTACATTACATGTCATTAAAGTTGATGCATTACATTAGATGGTTTACACGTATAACCCATCCCACACAGTGGGAGCAGTTAGGGGTTGGGTGTCTTTCTCAAGTATGGGACATGGAGCAGCCAGGGTTCAACCCTGCGGTTCCCAGCAGCCCCCTCTCTACCTCTCACCTGTTTTGTATCCCCCAAATCATTACAATGAACACCACAGGTGTTAAAACACAAACGGACCAGGACACTCTTTGGGGGATAGCAGACACACGACACTCTTGCGGTGGGAGGGTGCAGTCAGCGGGGTGGACCAGGACACTCTTGCGGTGGGAGGGTGTAGTCAGCGAGGTGGACCAGGACACTCTTGCGGTGGGAGGGTGTAGTCAGCGGGGTGGACCAGGACACTCTTGCGGTGGGAGGGTGTAGTCAGCGAGGTGGACCAGGACACTCTTGCGGTGGGAGGGTGTAGTCAGCGGGGTGGACCAGAACACTCTTGCGGTGGGAGGGTGCAGTCAGCGAGGTGGACCAGGACACTCTTGCGGTGGGAGGGTGTAGTCAGCGGGGTGGACCAGGACACTCTTGCGGTGGGAGGGTGTAGTCAGCGAGGTGGACCAGGACACTCTTGCGGTGGGAGGGTGCAGTCAGCGGGGTGGACCAGGACACTCTTGCGGTGGGAGGGTGTAGTCAGCGGGGTGGACCAGGACACTCTTGCGGTGGGAGGGTGTAGTCAGCGGGGTGGACCAGGACACTGTTGCGGTGGGAGGGTGTAGTCAGCGGGGTGGACCAGGACACTCTTGCGGTGGGAGGGTGCAGTCAGCGGGGTGGACCAGGACACTCTTGCGGTGGGAGGGTGCAGTCAGCGGGGTGGACCAGGACACTCTTGCGGTGGGAGGGTGCAGTCAGCGGGGTGGACCAGGACACTCTTGCGGTGGGAGGGTGCAGTCAGCGAGGTGGACCAGGACACTCTTGCGGTGGGAGGGTGCAGTCAGCGAGGTGGACCAGGACACTCTTGCGGTGGGAGGGTGCAGTCAGCGGGGTGGACCAGGACACTCTTGCGGTGGGAGGGTGCAGTCAGCGGGGTGGACCAGGACACTCTTGCGGTGGGAGGGTGCAGTCAGCGGGGTGGACCAGGACACTCTTGCTGTGGGAGGGTGCAGTCTGCGAGGTGGACTAGGACACTCTTGCGGTGGGAGGGTGCAGTCAGGCCGGGGTGGACCAGGACACTCTTTGCGGTGGGAGGGTGCCAGTCTGCTGTGGTGGACCAGGGACACTCTTGCGGTGGGAGTGTGCAGTCTGCGGTGTGGACCAGGAACACTCTTGCGGTGGGAGGGTGCAGTCAGCGGGGTGGACCAGGACCCTCTTGCCAAGTTATTGGCAAGTTATGTGGCAGGTTGCAAAAAGGAGACAACTTAACATTAGCTAACGCTAACGCGCATAGCTAGCCGTGCACATGGGGACTGTCGGCTTTTTAAATTTGGTCGAAAATAACACTAAATAACAAATAGCCTCAACAGAACAACTAGCTAAGATGTGACGACATTAATGCACATATGATTGTTTTACATTTAGAAGGATGGTGATGGATATCAGCTTACCTTCTCCATGTGCGGGTCAACGTGTATCTTCTTAATCTGGTTGTCACGGACGGCCTCCGCCTTGGTTTTCGCGGTCATGTCATCTACTCGATTGTCTGTTTATCGCAACATGAATGGATCTAATAAATGTTACGTTTTTGAAGTTCATGCAAATCCTACGTGACTGAATCACGTTCACATTGGAAACATCAATTAATATCGTTCAAAATACATGTTGCACTAAAGTAAATGTAACAACCAGCCAACATCATTTTTTTGAGTGTAGTTAAACCAATGGTAAATAGGATCACATTAACGTAGCAGTCAGTGTAGAAATGGAAATAGTGTCTGGCCCACAGTTCCATTGATGTATGACAAACACGGGTGGGTTGTGTCACCAGGGGGATTTTTGATTGCACAGCTGCATCTCATCTTCCTTATAATGGTGGTAGCGTGTCACCCTGTGGTCACCTTCCATCAGAGCAGCCGAGCTTCTTCAGCCTCTCATTCAAAAGCCACTTAAACAGTGAGTCTTCCGAGCTCATCAAAGGCTGCCCTGAGTGGGCCGAGGGGCCGTTCGCAGCCAATCAGAGAAGGCATGCGAGCACTCTAGTCGGCCAAATTAATGGAGGAGCAGAGAACCGATAGACAGCTTTTTGTCCTCTACACTGTGTGTGTTTGTGCGTTTTTAAAGAGAAATGGCAACCCGGCTTTCCTTGAGGTTAACTACATCAGTTTGGCTCTTTGGGAAATGTCCACGTCTACTTACATTAGGGATAGAAATGAGAATGATGAAAGCCTCAGAGGGCCTTACAATCTGTCCACATACAACGCGACCCGTGACCCTCACATGGGGAAGAAAAGGGCCAAACCTTTGACAGAGAAGTGACTCCTCTATTGGCTCACAGTCACTTCTTTCTACATTCCAGCAGTCTGGGAAACCTCAAGTAAGAGCAGTCTGATAATAAAGAATTGCAATAATCTAGTCTATAAGTTGCAAATGCATGGACTGATCTGTCTGCATCATTTTGATTTCTGTAACGCTAGATAGAAGAGCAGTCCTTGATGTTTGTGTGTGGACACGTCCTGGTTGAAGATCACTCCAAGATTCTTTACAGAGCTGCTGGATACCTGAGCAACGCTATCCAGAAAAACTACATCACTAGATAATCGACTTAATACGACAGCCTGTTTTGTCTGCGGTAAATTCTAGAAAGTTACTGGTTATCCTCAAAGACAAAAGAACAAGTATCCTTTATTAAATAAGTATTCTCTTGCCCCGTGTTGTTGGCGTCCCAGACTGTGGGAGCAATATGCCCATGTGTTTGCTTCAGTGTGGAAGCACATTCAGTGAGGCCTCAGATCTTCTTTGCAGCAGTGTGAAAGGGGCTTTTGTCTTACCAGATGCCCTCTGCCGTCCACTGCTGATGTTGCAGATTACAATACAAAAGAACGGTACAAAATGATATGCATAAAACTAAAGAGGAGCTCTGATGGAGCACGGTGCTTATCTCTGCATTGATCATGCAAACCTTTCTTCTCCCTCTTATAAGGAGTTTAGGCTTCTCCACTCTTCACATCTCATTATGAACCATGCCTACAGATAATTGGACCATGAGATGTAGCTTACTTAGTTCACATGAATAATGCATGTTTGCCCCGCCTAAGGGGCGAGGGTGGGAGGGGGGTGGTTAAGGGCTGGGTGCCGCAGATTAGGTGCCTTTGGTTAGTACTCGGGCTGTTTGTTCTGTTCCTATAACCAGTATGTTGATGTTTAAGAACAGCAATGTGTGGCTCCCCCTCACTTTTGCATCCGTTCATTTTACTGGTAGATCTTTTCTACACAATAATGTCCATTACATGAATGTCAATCTTCTTAGTGCTCTGGATTTAGAGATAAGCGGTGCAGTGATCTCTGATTATAACATATTAGCATGTTCTTGCATATGTAAACTAAATGTGCCAGTACAATGAACAATCATTTTGAAGGAATTAATGACAGCGAGGAAATACAAAAGCGCAATCACCGGCAGTGTCCTTCCAAGAAGACCCGGCGTGAAAGGGAAAGCCGCACATAAGACGTTTCTGTAGAGACTTCTACGCGGGATGTTTAGCTGGCTAGTTAGCTACATGCTAACGCCATACATTCGTGCACCGCGTGAATGACGTCGTTGTGTTAAAGTTAACATTGCTAACCAGCGGCGACGTACACAGGACTGTGGTGAGGACACACAACCAGGACGTGGATGACAACAGGCACAAATAATTCATTATTTGACGTTTTGTGGAGCTTTTGAGTTGGTCTTTCCTCAACACACTGTTTCCCCAACAAACTAGGTTCATAGAAGCATCTCAATATACGTAACGTTCATACATGCTCTAATATATTTTGCTAATATTTACCATATGGTAGTGAATTGTTTGAATAAGATGTCCTTATTATGTTAAACTGTTGGAATAAATGTTAAATATTTAACTAATAATAATGCGTCTTTGATACTGGGACGTTAACTGAAACTGATTGGCTGGCCACTGGTTTTAACAATCGTATCACTTGCCCAGTAATTCCAAGTTAATTCCTGAAAATTAACTGATTTGTGAAAACTTTTTTACAGGTAAATGT